GAAGCGAAGCGAAATAAACAGAAGCAGTAATGCGTTTCGGTTTGAAGGGTGGGGCAGCCGTTGTAACTATACTGAGACCTTAGAACTTATATCACAAGGTGGGTGGCGGGATTTACGTTGTAGATGTCTATGGGCTCCGGTAACCACTTAACATCAGGTGGGCCATCAGATCGACAATAAGAAAAAGATATATATAAAATACGTGACACATGTTTACTTTTATCATTGAAATTATTTATTGGAATAAAACAATACTGGACAAATAATATGCCGATANTATACTGAGACCTTAGAACTTATATCACAAGGTGGGTGGCGGGATTTACGTTGTAGATGTCTATGGGCTCCGGTAACCACTTAACATCAGGTGGGCCATCAGATCGACAATAAGAAAAAGATATATATAAAATACGTGACACATGTTTACTTTTATCATTGAAATTATTTATTGGAATAAAACAATACTGGACAAATAATATGCCGATAGCACTTTAGAAATCATTTATATTGAATTAAGTTATTCGTATCGTACATTCGAATAACTTGACTTTCCTACAATACGTACCTACATATACATACATCGAAGTTAATAAAAGTATATAATGGCTTTGAAGATTCCAACCGTGGGAAGTAGGTCGGCTGTCACTAGACGTCTTCCCTATCACGGAATTCCCTTTTCGCTGTGACTGGCTCGAAAAACCGAAAGCTTTTCGTGAAATGCAGCGGAAATTAAAATCCACAAAAAATCTCATAGGCCCGTAAATTATTTCAAAAGACTTTTTGTTTACCGTCCATTTTGTAGCGTTGCTGAACTTTATATGGTTTGATTCCGGATTGAAGAATTTCTCTCTCTCTCTCTCTCTCTCTGTCTTCCTAGCTATGCATCCCGCATGACTTTGGGGTCATCTTTACTTATTATTTTCCCCTACTTGGCACATTTTTCCACTTTATCTTAGGTCTTCTTCTAGGTCCCTGACCGGGTGATTGAACTACAGCACCCAAAATCTGACGTAGTGTGGTGACTTTCTTTTTACGTGACATCAAGAATTTGTGATAACGTATTTCATCATCAGAAACTAGTAGAAATTTACTAACAAATTTACAATGGTAACCTGAAAACTAGATTACAATTTATGTGTCTTTACATAGATTAGCACTTTTTAATTTTAATCGCTTATAAAGACCAACATAATATTAAATTTATTACGACAGCTTCACCCAAGGATTGCTGTGTCGGTAAGCATGAAATATTGTTCAAAAGCCTATCGGAATTATATCAAAGCGACCCAAAATCGATCACCGAATACACCTAATGTGAAGACATAAGTACCTAAAGCTTACGTTACAGTTTCAAATTGTATAAAAAATAGAAAAACCGTTATAATTCCGAATACTACACATTTGCTATATTGCTTATGCTGTGGCTTTTTGCTATTAATTGTCATATACAACATCAGGCACACGACAATTATAATTGCGATAACCTTATGTCAGAAATTTCCTTTTTTTCTGTCTTCATAGACACTTTCAACATCAGAATTAANAGCTTACGTTACAGTTTCAAATTGTATAAAAAATAGAAAAACCGTTATAATTCCGAATACTACACATTTGCTATATTGCTTATGCTGTGGCTTTTTGCTATTAATTGTCATATACAACATCAGGCACACGACAATTATAATTGCGATAACCTTATGTCAGAAATTTCCTTTTTTTCTGTCTTCATAGACACTTTCAACACCAGAATTAAACGGATAGCTTAGGCCCCACAATTCTATGGAACCCAAGTTAATTTAATCCGTTTCTAGAATTTTATATTTGTCACAAAATTTCAGCCTCTAAAACGATCGCCTCCGGTTTTTCTGCGACATTGTATTCTTTGTCCAACGTGTTTTGAAAAACGCTTTTAGCAGTTGTCATTTAACTGGCGTTGCCTCTGGCATTGCCGATGTCGGTGATCACTAAGGGGATCTGCCGACAGCCGACCCAGACCCTCACTGGCAATCAAAAAACATACAATACAAAGCGTCACCATTGAAATTTCATCTCAAGACTAGTGTACACAAATACGAATGTCAGTTTGTACTGTATTGAATGCGTACAAGGAAAAGGATTTACCTTTATAGGTTAGGCCTTGCCGACGCCGCAACGTCCCCTTCCTTGTGAAGCTCACAACCTTGACCTCGATAGTGAAGACAACCGATAAAGCATTAGGTTTTTTTTTTTTTTTTTTTATTACCTATATTTTAGGTTATACGGGATAACAGCAAAAAATGCTTTTTATTGCTTAGATGGGAGAATAAGCTTACAGCCCATCTGGTGTTAAGTGGTTACCGCCCATAGATAACATAAAAGTCGCAACACACATTGAGGCATGAGTTCGATGTCTCAATTTAACAGTCCCAACAGCCCCATTCAAACCGAAGCGTATTATTGTTTTAAAGCAGAAATTAAGTGGTGGTACCTACTAGTGCGAGCTCCAAACCACGCCCTACAACCAGTAATTACGCAAAGTATAATTAAGAATATTTATCAAATCTTATAAATATTGGTAAAATCATGATTGAACAACACCATCTGAGTTGAATATTTTATTCCCTTATTATCTAAATATTTTGAAGACATTAAAAATAATGTAAGTTAAATGTATTATGTACTACTTTCATTTTCAGTGTACTGGTGGTAGGACCTCTTCTGAGTCCGTACGGGCAGGTACCACCACCCCGCCTATTTCTGCCGTGAAGCAGTAATGCGTTTCGGTTTGAAGAGTGGGGCAGCCGTTGAAACTATACTGATACCTTATAACTTATATCTCAAGGTCGGTGGCGCATTTATGATGTAGATGTCTATGGGCTCCAATAACCACTTAGCAGGTGGGCTGTGAGCTCGTCCACCCATCTAAGCAATAAAAATAAACTTCCTAAATAGTACTATTTTCATCATACCATATTCTTACTATTTAACGTTAGAACGAAATTGTCTCAGCCTTCAAATGTGAATAAATGTTTTTTTTAATTATTATTGCGTATATAAGTAAGAAATAAATAAGGTCAACCTCAACCTGGCGTCAAGTCATTACCAGAGGTTATCTATCGACATCACAACGTGAATGTCGTTGAAGTCCCAAATGTTATTATACTGCAAACAAACAAACCGCATAATTGTTCCACACCAAAAATAAATCCAATAGTCATCCCCGTACCTAATAAGAAATTATAAAATTAACATAATGATTGAGATTTTAAACCATTTTACGACTTATAATATCAAGGAATTCAAAATACGCGGCAGCCATGTTTAATTTCTGTCTTTGTTATCAAAACAAAAGGCGATTTTCAAAATGCTCTGTAGAAAAGCTTTTCCTCGCAGACTATGGTTTTTCAGAGAAATTGTGACGGGAGAAAACTCAGATCTGTCAGCACCGAACGGTCCTCTATAGAACTGATACGGAACAAAGGTCTCTTTTGTTGAAACCCATTCATAAATAATGTTTATGTAGCTTCCGAACTATGAAAATATGCCTAAATAGCAAACCTACTGGTGGTATTGACGTCTTGGGAGCCCACACGGCTAAGTACCACCACTCTGCCTGTTTCTGCCGTGAATCAATAATGCGTTTCAGTTTAAAGCAGGTGGGGCAGCCGTTGTAACTGTACTTGAGATCTTAGAACTTATATCTCAAGGCGAGTGGCGCATTTACGTTGTAGTTGTCTATGGGCTCCAGTAACCACTTAACACCAGGTGGGCTGTGAACTCGTCTACTCATCTAATCAATAAAAAAAAAACTCATGTCGGGAGGTGAGTTGCGCCATTTACGTCTTTTTTTACCCCGTTGCTACCAGTCAGAATTACTGAATTGTCATCGGTAATTATTGTGTGTGCCCAACTCACTGAGTTTCTCGCTAGATCTTCTCAATGGGTCGCGATTAAGAAGGTAGATCCGGCGAAGCACTGCTCTTGCTGAAGTCAGTTTTAGAAATTCTCTCAGGTTGAGCTCACGTCACTTACCGGCCCGCGCATAGTTGGAATGGTCCCTTATTCTACCAAAGATCAGGTAGCAAAAGTTAATCGGACGACTTGAAGACGATAAAAATTAAGGATTCCGTTACGTACTAACAAACTCACCTAAATATATCGTTATTTTCTTTTTTTTTTTTCTTTTTATTGCCCTTGTAGGCAGACGAGCATACGGCCCACCTGATGGTGAGTGTTTACCGTCGCTCATGGACTTCAGCAATGCCAGGGGCAGAGCCAAGCCGCTGCCTACCGCTTAATACTCTCCATAAGCCTCGTGTAATGTACTTCTTACAGACAAGGTGAATCGGGAATTACCGGACTAGCCTACCCCGGGTCACGATTAAATGAAATTAGAATAACGGAATCCTTGATGCGAATTTAACTGTACTGTAAATGTACTGTAGCAAAATGTACAAATGCTTTACTATTTTTAACTATCTGTACAAAATATTTTACACTGAAAAAGTACTTGATGATATTTCGATGATCCAATCACAGCCCTATACATCTTGTTTAGTGTTTCTTACTCTTTCTCTCTTTGTCTCAATTCAAGTCTTATTTATATTATGTTCGAGTTCATATTTCGTAGAGCAGCTATGAGGCCACAAACAGAAAAGTTCGAGCCTCAAAGTTATAATAACTTTAATATGTCTTTCGAACAGATTAAAATAAAACGCTAATGAAACCAAATGACTCGATTCGCTAAATGATTTCGTACATTTTTTGTTATTATACTATTATATAATAACATCTAAAAATACCATCTGATAATTATATTATCGGATGGTATTTTTTAAATTAACGTAACAAGTTTCTCGGTATTTACAAATGCTAATTTATTTACATATTCAATTGGATATTAATACAAATAATACTTAAAACTATAATTTAAAGTGTCAGTTGAATTAATGTAGGGAATTTTTGCCAATACAACTAATAATCGAGTTTCGACAGAACATAAATATTTAACTAGATTATCTTGTCAGAATACTTTGTGGCTTGTTTTAATTTTTAAGTTTAAAAAATTAAAAAAAATACTTTATATTCAATTAAAATAATCCATCCGAACAGACAAGTAAAATAAAGCAGCTTCGTGTACATATACCTCCGTTTTTTTATTCTGTCATCAAATTTTAAGTTGAATTGTGTTCAAAGAAGTCTCTTTCATCTCGAGACAGTTCTAAAATTTCTTGCTAATTTGGCATTGATGGAAATAAAATGAAGTATCAGAAACAATCTAATGCTTAATAAGATGTTTGGGTTTGCAAAAGTGGTTGGAAACCATAACGTTGCATTTTTTTCCTTTTCATCGCCTTACAATTTTCAAAGGAATGCCACCCTTTGGGCCGAGAAGTAGCCTTGTAGGATCGATATCCAAATTTCTAGGCGTATTCTTTGCTAATTCAAAACGAAATTTTGAGAACATTTTCACCATACACACTCTGCTTTGAATTTTCGCAAACCGCATCCCTGAAATAATAAACAATTTATTAACACTTTATACATTTCTTTATTAGAATAATAAGTAATAAGTTTCAAAAACGATTTACATAAATAGTCGCAGCTAGAATACAAAAAAGTAGTTATAAAAATTTGAGAATCAAAGAATCAAGTTATAAATGAAGTGTCAATATAAAAATTGAGGCTTCGTTCATTGATGAGTAGTTTAACACATGTTTTCCGACAGCAGCTTCGCTAACCTAGACTAAACTTCATATCGCGTGGCCAGAGACCTGTTCTGACCAGTGCATTTTCTTTCCCTTTCTAGTGTTGATATGCTCAAATGTGGAGATGGGGTTAAGTGGTTTCCAGAGACCATAGACATCATAATGTGAATACCGCTACCCACCTTTGAAACTTAACATCTATAACTCAGTTAAAGCCACGACGACTTCCAAGCTTCGACTTTTTTCCAAGGATCAAACTATTTCGATACCAAATTTACGTTAAAATCGGATCAATGATTTGAGAGTAAAAACGCATTAAGCTTATGACAGACACGATTACTTTTGTATTTATAATATTAGCATGGATTTTAATTTCTAACTAAATCAATCAAAAGTACGTTTCACTATTATTAAGTTAAATTAAATCCAAAATTGCGTTATCGACCACACTAAGACTAAATCTATAACTTTGGCCTTGACGTCGAATGTGATTTTCCAAGTGAGTTCATAGATAAAATTAACTATATAGTAGTACATTTAACGTTTTATACAAATATAAAAAGTCGTACAAGTTTTTTAAATTGTGCTCGTCCTGTGATCAAATTTCGACCGTAATCAGTAACACCGCAAGAATTAAAATCATTTGATATATTACATTCTTATGTATTATGTTTGACGTTTTGTTGACGAAAAAAAAAAACTTCCATTTATTGATCTACTAGAAAAAAGATAATCGGATGAAAAGCATACAGGAGAAAAGTACTGTTTTGTCTTTACCGATTTATATAAATTAAGTATTTGTAATAGAACTTTTGACACCAACATGCACACATGTAGTTGTTCTAAACAAATAAACAGTCGTATTATACAAAAGACGTCACGTCACATTTACTTTGAACGTGTGTTTATACAGAAACAATACAAAATGCTCTGGGAACCTTGAATTCTTACTGTATTATGAACAGTTTTTTAGGGCGTTAAATGGTTCTACAAAAACTGGTACTGCCTAGACCTGTCAAACAGCATACAAACGTACGCCATTTATTTTATTTTATTATTTTTAATGATATAAATGCCTGTCTCAAGGTGGACGGTGGCATTAACGTTATATAAGTAACATTGACTACTGGTGCGGTAAATTGTGTCCACATACACGGGTAGGTACCACCAGATATGAAGTGGTTACCGAAGCTCCTAGTTCCTCTATAACGTTAATACCGGACTATCTTGAGACATGGGTTAAAGTACTTTAAGCTCTTGCTGAATAACCTTCAAGTATATAACTTGTTTAACAGACATCAACTACAAATGGTGTATCAGGTGTATCATCATAAAATTTGTTTTGAAACAAAACTCATCAAAATCAAACTCATCAAATGTAGTAGTTTGGCATAAAGCGCGAAAGATATTAGAATTACACTAAGAACAAAATTCGCAACAAAATCACAACTGAATGAAAATATTAACAGACCACTTACCAATGCAATTACGTGGACCAGTGCCGNACATCAACTACAAATGGTGTATCAGGTGTATCATCATAAAATTTGTTTTGAAACAAAACTCATCAAAATCAAACTCATCAAATGTAGTAGTTTGGCATAAAGCGCGAAAGATATTAGAATTACACTAAGAACAAAATTCGCAACAAAATCACAACTGAATGAAAATATTAACAGACCACTTACCAATGCAATTACGTGGACCAGTGCCGAACGGTATGTGAGCACAAGGATGCCTCGCGCTGATATTAGCTGGAGAAAATCTCTCAGGGTCAAATTTACTTGGATTGGGATAATACTTCTCGTCGTGATGTATCCCTAAGGGCGAGAATAAAACTGTTGTTCCTTTCTCAATAACTATGTCCGTATCAGGTATCTTATAATCTATCTTTGCATTTCTTTGCAGAGGTTCCACTATCGAGTACATACGCAAGGTCTCATTAAATGCTTTTTCGAAATACGTTAAATTCTGAAGCATCTCGTAGGTGACTTCCCCTTTGGATTCTTTTAGACCTTGATCAATTTCAGCTATAACTTTATCTTGAATGTCAGGATTTAAAGCTAACTGATACAGCATGAAGGTCATTGTAGTGGCACTGGTTTCATATCCCGCTATATAGAACACAAAGGCTTGAGCCTCTATTAATTCATCCGTCAATTCAATACTGTATTCCTTGTCTTCCGAGTTTCTCTTTGTTGCTTGGATATCACCCAATTGTCTCAGAGCCAAAATGAGATCCATAAAGTCATTCCGGTCTGTGGGCTTACCGTTCCTTTGCTCGATAATAGTTTTGACTACATCTTTGAAGAACCTAGACACAAATCCCGGAAACAATGTACTGTTCAACTTTTTCAAAACACCCGGATACATCATGTCCAATTCAAAAGCAAAGTTTGCAGTTAGTGACAGCCTGTCGATTTCTTCTAATGTTTTCAGTTGATCTTTGTTTGGATCCGTCGTGTCGATATCTAAACCAAAAGCACAAGCCGCAATGGTGGCCATCGTGTATTTCTGGACAAGCGTATGAATATCCTGCTCCGGTTGGTGGTCGCATAACATTTCGACGTGTTCTATATACTTGTTGGCGCGCTCAATCATAAGATGAAGCATATTCTTTAACTTTCCTGAAGTGAAGAGTGGCGTGAATCGATTACGAAGTACACGCCAAGTGTCCCCATCTGCATGAAAAAGATTAGCGCCCAAACCACTTTTGCTTAGTTCAACTCCTCGATCGACAAACACATCGAAATCTTTAATCATTATATTTTTGATGACATCCAGGTCCCGTATCAACAAACAGGGTGTTGTCATGCGGTAAATTCCAACGACCTTCTCATTTGGAAAGTTTTCATATAATTCTTTGAACACGATACCAATGTTCTTCTTCCGCAGTGCCGATTCCATTAAGTTCCCGAAAAGCGGTACGGGTTTGGGCCCGGGGACATTTCGTTTCTTCCAATAGTTGAAATGTCTTGTGAAATAAAGATAGAGAAGAAGCGGTAAAACTACGGAGGCTGACAAAATATAGATAATTGCCATCACATCGATCAACTCTGTACGCAAATACACACACTAAATGATATAATCGTTGAGGCACCCGTTTATATATGATACAATCCTCGATTTTTTTTATCTACAATTCGCTTTGACGGAATCTTTTATTAGACGCTATTTACATGTATCAGTATTTAAAATAGAACATAATATGTTGACTATTATAATTTATGAATTTTGCACTCGAGAAGTTTACGTTAAGTGTTAGAAACAAAAGTATACTATGTGTGATTTGTTTAAAACTAATCTATATATATAAAAATGAATTGCTGTTCGTTAGTCTCGCTAAAACACGAGAACGGCTGGACCGATTTGGCTAATTTTGGTCTTGAATTATTTGTGGAAATCCAGAGAAGGTTTAAAATATAAATAAATATGAAAATGCTCGGAATTAAATAAAAATAACAATTTTGTTTTTCCTTTGATGTGTCCCTCGTCGGACGGATTCCTTTTGTTTGTTTTAAGTTTATTTTATACAAAAGTTAAGATCTTTTATTTATCGATTGAGGCATTACGGAGTCTGCCGGGTCAGCTAGTATCTAATATTTAAGCAATACTTATAATTTTATATTTACGATTTTCAACGCTAAATGTAAAGTTTGTTTGTTAAGATTANGCAACGGTTGCCGAATTGTCGTTTTTATAAAACTCGCGCACACAAAACGCACGGTCCGCTCCGGTAAAACGCTCCATCGCGACTAAATTCCCAGAAACCGAAGTTACTCCCCCCGCTTCCCCTGCACCGCTCACGCGCGCCCTGTTCGTTTTATTCAAATTTTACTTTTCAAAGGACTTATGGGCCACCCTGTATGATACAATCCGCGATTTTTTTATCTACAATTCGCTTTGACGGAATCTTTTATTAGACGCTATTTACATGTATCAGTATTTAAAATAGAACATAATATGTTGACTATTATAATTTATGAATTTTGCACTCGAGAAGTTTATGTTAAGTTTTAGAAACAAAAGTACACTATGTGTGATTTGTTTAAAACTAATCTATATCTAAAAATGAATTGCTGTTCGTTTGTCTCGCTAAAACTCGAGAACGGCTAGACCGATTTGGCTAATTTTGGTCTTGAATGAATTGTGGAAGTCCAGAGAAGGTAAAATATAAATAAATATGAAAATGCTCGGAATTAAATAAAAATAACAATTTTGTTTTTCCTTTGATGTGTCCCTCGTCGGACGGATTCCTTTTGTTTGTTTTAAGTTTATTTTATACAAAAGTTTAGATCTTTTATTTATCGATTGAAGCATTACGAAGTCTGCCGGGTCAGCTAGTATCTAATATTTAAGCAATACTTATAATTATATATTTACGATTTTCAACACTAAATGTAAAGTTTGTTTGTTAAGATTAAATTTCATAAAAAAAAAAATTCAATAGGTACATAGAAATGTTATTTAATGATTGGACAACTCCATCGTGAATTATTTTAATATAGACTGAAAAGCTGAAGTAATTGAACATCCATTTTCACCAACAAAATTCATGTTACATAACCATTCAGTTTCGTACCTACCGCATATTGTAAAATTTGAATTGTATTGAATGTATGCGTACGTCTGTTATTTACAGAAGGACGCGTGTGGAGGTGTAATTCAGATGTTGCGCGCGCACCAAAGCTGGGTAGGGGAGAGTGAGCCAGCGGGCGATGCGGCCAACACCTCGCGCGCCCTCTAGACCTACACCCACCTCTAGCCACTGCATTTTACACGGTAAATCCGTTCTAATTTTTATTTTTATTTATGATTTCATGATCAATACACGTACAAATATTTAACTAAATACCAGTCCAATTGTCCTTGAAACTATCAATCGATAAATTATATCATCATAAATTTTCGACGTAGGCGTTTGTATCGTATTCTTTATGGAGTCTTTGATGATAAAATTACTGTTGGTAGGACCTCTTTGAAGTCCGCGCGGGTAGGTACCACCACCATGCCTATTTCGGCAGTGAAGCAGTAATGCGTTTCGGTTTGAAGGGTGGGGCAGCCGCTGTAACTATACCTACTTGAGACCTTAGAACTTATATCTCAAGGTGGGTGGCGCATTTACGTCGTAGATGTCTATGGGCTCCAGAACCCACTTAACACCAGGTGGGATGTGAGCTAGTCCACTCATATAAGCAATAAAAAAAAATTATGCTTTAATTATTTGTAGTACGTAGTATTACTAGTAATACCGAAGTATTACTGGTGGTCCGGAGGCCTCACCAGTTTCACAATGACAGGTGGGCGAGCTAGGACTCCGTCAGAAGGGGCAAGATTTGTAAAGAGCTACCCTAGCGTCTCCAAGGCAGACCTAACAACTCAAGAGTAACTGCTTCGCGAGCGAATCTACTACCGGATCGGAATCGCGACCCGCTGAAAAGATCCGGCGAAAAACTCAACGGGCTGATGTTTAGGCTAGGTTGCACGTCGAACTCCGAGGCTTAATCAATTAATGCAGTCATGAATTCGAGTTTACAGGATTATCGTCAAGCACTATTCATTAATTAGATTTTCGCGATTAGGTCCTATTTATTTTAAATGATTTGAGAATCGATTAGATCGTGTTTCGTTTATTATTAAGCGTCACAATCTGTAAATAAGTTGTTAATGTAGATGCTTTTAATTGCCATATTTGCAAATAAACAAACACATAAAGACACAAAAAACACACTCGCACTTACTAAAGCTTTTAAAAGAATTTGCTCGATAATATTTGATTGAAAGTCTGGAGGTAGCACAAAGAAGCGCCAAGTCAATTCAGTTGTTAGAGCATACAATAAATTCAAACTGCAATGAGATTCGTTCTCAACGCATATGCCATATTCCAATGTCGTTAAGGCTCAGTCTTGTGTCTCAAAGAGTACGGCGGAATTGACTAAATGCAGTTTACTGACGGTTGCCGGATCCCTAAGCCATTGAGCCGTGAACCGTGAGCTAAGTCCTCTATTCTTTGAAAACAGAAAAGAAATTGAAACTCGCTGCACGTATTTTACGCAATTTCAGTGTAGCTGAATTAAGCTGTTGTCAGTTAAGCGACACAAACCAATTGCCGTTGGCACGTAATTATTTAGCTTAATATAAACAGTAAAATAATAAAACTACTTGCATTTTAATCATTTTAAATTTGGTTGTATGACATTAAAGATAAAATCGTTTCATTGTAAGTTAGAATGAATATTGTCCCAGAATATTATCGATCACAATGAATATGTTCAGTCCTTAAGATTTGGATTCACTTTGCGTATCATATTGTTCTCTTCATGCGTTCTCTTTTGTGAAATAGAAATTTGTTTCTGATATATTAATGCAAAAAACCGATTGCATCCGAAATTTTCATTGATAACAAACACTTAAGTATTGACGCTGGCTACTAAAAAATAATCTGTTGATAAACTGAGGAATAAATTGAATTTAACTGTTATGGTGTTTACCATTTTATAGTATACTAGCCGTACTCGCCCACTTCGCTGGTCATTTAAAATTAACATTATTATTTATTATCATAATTATTAGCGAGTCCAACACTCATATAGATATTAGCCTATCCATTAAGTACATGTATTTTCTACATGGGTACCAAGTATCAAGTCAATCGGATGCATGGTTCAGTAGTTGTAACGGAACATCCGTAAAAACCACTGTAGATTTATATATTAGTCTAGACTAGTATATATATATTTATACATCATAACTGTTCCTTTTGACTCACCTGCGATTTTAGTTGAAAATTTAATGGAAATATTTTTATAGGTCGGTCATGAAAAATCTTGCCCATTTTCTGGCTGTTCCTATCAGCGAAAACGTGGTAACTGTCATCTATTCAGCAGCCGCGGCCACACTGCACTTAAGGATCACAGGTACGTCTCCAATCTCACAAAACTCACCTTTATTGTTGTGTATGGATAGGCAGTTAAAAATAGAAAAGATTCAACGTCTATCCACAATCTGCCTACAAAGAATATTGCGGTATTTTGGTCATGTTGCACGTAGGGATACCAGCAATTTGGAACGCCTTGTGGTGACCGGTAAAATAGAGGGAAAAAGGCCCAGGGGTAGAGGTCCCAAACGATGGTCGGACCAAATAGCGGAGGAACTGGGGATACCTATCAGCGACGCACTCCACCGGGCTGCAGGGCGGGATCGATGGAGACAGTTGGTTGACGAAATCGGACGGAGTCACGATCCTCAGCAGTGAGGAACCGATCGAAGAGAGAGAGAGAGAGGATAGACATGATCGCCATTGCGTGAATAACGCGTTCCATCTTAAGACATGACATGGATAATAATGCCTGTCTTAACTTCTGGACACATGACTTCTTCACGACGGCAATGGCGTTCAAAGTAAAGAAGTCGTTTTGACTAAAGGATAAGATACACGGTATACTCGAGCAAGCTTATAAATATTATTATATTGACGTTATATAATTAATGTCATTATATTAATTAATGTCGAAATCCCGCAGGCAGGTACCCTTTTTTTTAATGAAATACAGTCCTAACAGGAGTACCTAACAGGTATTCACGGGTAACTTTTACGAATCGCTCAAATTTATAAACTGAAATGATAAACTGGGAGTATGTACCCGTTCTGCTGATACATACCCGCCACGAAGCAGTTACGCGTTCCAGTTTGAGGCTTGGGACAGAAATTATACAATTGGGACTACGGGAATCTCTCATGGCCTCATTCACATTGTTATCTACGGAGTCCGGTAACCACTTAATAGCAGGCGCACTATGAGCTCGTCGACACATCGAATGAATTGCAACGTAAATAACATAATTAAATTGCAGGTCAAAATTATAAAAAGATGTAATGAAATGCACATACCATGCACGCTATAGTTGTTAGATAAAAATAATCAAATAACCACATGCTGATCCTTTTTTGATTAATCAGTTGAACAACTATCGACCGACAACTCTGTCTATGGAAACGTGTACAGTGTACAGAGTATTTATAACTGATAAATAAACATAGATAACCTAACGACTGAATCGATTGTATGCGCAAATCAAAACAATAAACAATTTGTCCCAAGTAGTAATGAAATGATAAGCATTATAAATTATTGGATCTTGTTCAATTAGTTTTTGAAAAGATTGAAAAATGCTCTTAACATTGTCTTGCGGTTTTGAATTAATTGATTTACTGTGGAGTAATTGGACAGTAAACAAATAGTCAAAAATCAAAGTCGTTACAATATTAAATTTATACTGCGGAACATCTATAAAGCTATGGAATTAACAGAGCATATATGGGTCTTCAATTTCTGGATGGGGTATTGTGTCAGCTGACCTCCGTGGTCTCCAAGTCGCGAAAGAGGAAAGTGCTTGCTTCAGAGGCGGTCAATGAGTCAAGAGGGTTAGTTATTCATATATGGCACAAAAATATTGAATATTTATGCTGCCACAAACCATTACGCTGTGACGTCCACATAAATTGTTTAAAATTCGTAGTGACGTCTAACGCGTGCGTCATGAACGAGGTCTTTCAGTTACCTATAATAACATTTAAGTTTTATTATACCCAATTTTCAAAAATGCATAATTCTTTTTTTTTTTTGGTAACATCTACCTTCTTTATGTGGACAGTTAAGTTTTGGATTCAAAACGTGGCGAAAAAGTCCACATCACCTTTGGACTATATAGTACGAGTAAACTGATGGATCAACATGCTATAGTTTACCTCGCTTCGAATATATTTTTTATTGCTTAGATGGGTGGACGAGCTCACGGCCCACCTGATGTTAAGTGGTTACCGGAGCCCATAGACATCTACAACGTAAATGCCGCCACCCACCTTGAGATATGAGTTCTAAGATCTCAGTATAGTTACAACGGCTGCCCTACCCTTCAAAACCAAACACATTACTGCTTCACGGCGTAAATAGGCAGGGTGGTGGTACCTACCCGTGCGGACTCACAAAAGGTTCTACCACCAGTAATTACGCAAATTATAATTTTGCAGGTTTGATTTTTACTACACGATGCTATTCCTTCACCATGGAAGTCAATCGTGAACATTAGTTAAGTACGTATTTCATTAGAAAAATTGGTACCAGCCAGCTGGATTCGAACACCGATGCCTCACAAGATACGAATGTACCGAACATCTTATCCTTTAGGCCACGACGACTTATGACCGTAAGCTAAATTTACCTTAAACGCATTCAAATTAAATACATGCTTAGTAAATCGGATTAGGTACTAAGAGTAACCTGCAACTGGGAATAACATTTAACTCTTAATCACCATCAATACAGGACTCATAAAATTTAAGGGTTTATTTTTTTATTTTCGTTGTGGTTTATATAGAAGGGCGGTCTGACCGAACGTGGTCAGCGGGAGAACGCGGGCGTAGAGAGTGCGGCCGCGCGCGTTTCCCGCACCACACACACCCGCCCATTCACTGTTAGCAGGTAACTACTACTACTACTTTTACTCTTTTTTTTTTATTGCTTAGATGGGTGGACGAACCCACAGCCCACCTGGTGTTAAGTGGTTACTGGAGCCCATAGACATCTACAACGTAAATGCGCCACACACCTTGAGATATAATTTCTAAGGTCTCAGTATAGTTACAACGGCTGCCCCACCCTTCAAACCGAAACGTATTACTGCTTCACGGCAGAAATAGGCAGGGCGGTGGTACCTACCCGCGCGGTCTCACAAGAGGTCCTACCACCAGTTAGACATTTAACCCTTTGCTATATAGTATAGTCTTAAATTATTATTATTATTATTTTTAATTGCTTAGGTGAGTGGACAAGTTCACAGCTCACCTGGTGTTAAGTGGTTACTGGAACCCATAGACATCTACAACGTAAATGCACCACAAACCTTGAGATATAATTTCTAAGGTCTCAGTATAGTTACAACGGCTGCCCCATCCTTGAAACCAAAACGCATTACTGCTTCACTGCAGAAATAGGCAGGGTGGTGGTACCTACCCGCGCGGACAAAATTAGTTTTAGGACCGCTAAGAGTTGTCCATCTTCAATCGAAATTAGCTCAAAATCAAAATTACGATTGGCGTGATTGAAGTAATAAGCTCACCGCTCACCCAGTGGTTTACCAGAATTCATAGAATTAATTATTTTCCAATCATTAATTTTTCAGCATTTCAAACTCATAGTTTGTCTGTTTCGTCGTAGCAACAGGCCTTTCCATCTTCTAATCGCTTTCCAGCTCGGCTAGTATACATTATCGAATTCATACATCAATACAAAGTATTGTATAAAGCGAAATTAAATTCCAGTGTCCAAAATAGTAAAAATTCCAACGCAATACAAACATTTTGTTAGTGATTTATAGAATAAATATTACATTCAATTTTTTTTCGAGTAAATTGATAGAAAATAAATGTATTATCTATACATATAAATAAAATTGGAGTGTCTGTTTGTAATGTTGAAATAACCGCTTTTTACTACATGCGTATGCATATAATATATACGGTACATACACCAAAATAACATTTTTTACAATTTTTGTCTGTCTGTTTGTTCCGCCTAATCTCTGGAACGGCTGGACCGATTTTGACGAGATTTTCACTGATAGGTATCTGATGATATAAGGAGTAACTTAGGTTTTATTAGACTAGCTTCGCCCCGCGGCTTCGCTCGCGGTACGACAATGAGCGCGGGTAACGTCGCGAGATTCAGCTACGTATTAATAATAAAATTTAATGTTTCCGAAGCGAAGCGAGGGCGGGTCGCTAGTATTCTATATTTTTTTAAATTAATTACTTACTGTCTTCAATTTTGATATGAGCCCATTGAATCAATACACGTACAAAATATTTAATTAAATACCTAATCCAATGTCCTTGAAACGAACAATAGGTAAATTATATCATCATAAATTTACGTTTATATTGTATTCTTAATGAATTCCTTGATGATTTAGATATTAAAATTTAGCAAGTTAACAGTTTTTTGTGACTATAAAAGGGTACTTAAGTACTTGAATATAAATGATACTAATGATGTTGTGTGTTGTGAGGCCGCACTGGTAAGAACCACCATCCTGACAATATCCGCAATGAAAACGTCACGCGTTCGCGTTTGAAGAGTGATACCACCGTTAAGTAAAACCATTAAGTCTTCGACTTTATGACACTAGGGATAAATAATAAAAAAAAAACTTGCATATACAATATAAAATACAAATACTTATCTACATAAAAACCAAATCTCTATTCTCATAGATTATGATTTTCAATGAATATAACATTATACCGTTATGTAATAAATCTAATATTGGAGCATCAAAGAAAAGTAATAAAATTTATTACAACGCAAAAGGTATTAAGTAAAAGATGTCCTTGACCTACTTCACTGAGTCGTAACCATTCCCTTTATATAATAAGAAAACCTCAACTAAAATGAAACTAATTTAAATTCTTTTTTCCATTCAATTTACAATACAATAGAACAATTTATATTAAAGCCAATTTTGTATCCAAAATATTCAGAATTAGTTACAACTACGTGTTATTGCAATTCATGGGGGATGCTGAAAAAATATATTCAGTGAGCACACATTCGATCGCGTCTGAAGTCTGGCCCCACCCTTTGGCACGGTTCGGTTATACCTCCCTGATATTAAGGTCAGTCCCGACTACAAGACGGGTTCCTCATCGCAATCCTCTTAGTTTTCCCGCAACCTTACGTCGCTTTGCTTCCTTTTCCTCCATTGCCTTGAAACATGTTATACTTACGTTCAACAATAGTTTACTTTTCTGAATTTAGTTAAACGAATGTGCGTGCGTAAAACAGGACTACACTTGTTCTATTTTCTGTTTTATTTGTTGGATATAATTATTCGACCTGTGCCCAATATACGTCGACCCACGTCCACCCTTTTCAAATTCCCTAACATAATGAAATTCAAGTGATACATTTTTGATTCAGTAGACAGTTCACTCGGGGGGAGTTCGATAGACAATGTCCGAGGACTTGGACTCGATCAGCGAGGAAGAACGAAGCTTGTTCCGACCCTTCACACGAGAGTCTCTGGCCGCAATCGAAGCCCGCATAGCTGAAGAGCATGCCAAGCAAAAAGAACTCGAGAAAAAACGAGCGGAAGGCGAGGTAAGTGACCTTTTGACCATTCCTGAAACATAGAGTGAAACTAACTGACCAAATGCTATAGATTTGTTGTCCTAGGTATACTTTTCTGTACTGTCTGAACTGCGTGTTTTACACAAAACTGAGAGTACTCAGAAAGCACATTGACATAACACTAAATGATTGTATTAGATAACAATACTCTAACAGCAAAGTTTAATTTAAAAAAACAAACGATGCTGACAGATAATTTTTAAATTATTCCAGAACGATTTGGGGCGGACGAAAAAGAAAAAAGAAGTAAGATTGCTTGCTTGCCCCTTACTTTTTCCAGCTCCTTTTACTAGATAAATATTTTTCAGCAAGTTATCGCTTACAATCAAAATTAATTTACGCATCTGACACATTGCAAACTCCACTTACATTGGCGCCACCAATAGCGCGATAACTTGTACTGCATTCAAACTTGTGCATTTTGAGAGCATCCAATACATTATTCCTCAACACATTAAATGGCTTCGTCAGCAATTAAAACCGTGTTCATACAACTAGCAGTTAGTACGAAAAATTAGATAGCTTTTCGAAAGACAAGTCTGATCTTTTTTTAATTAGCTAACGTGATATTGTATATTTTTTGACTAACGAATGAAAGCATACCGGCTCTTTCAGTTATAACGTTGGAAAACCCAAATTTATTTGTGTCGATTTTAGAATAATACTTACTACAACTATTATGCAATCTTTCAACATAGATCTAGTGGATCACGGATTCCTTCGTTGCTAATCTGAAACAGTAAATACCACAACAAGAATTGTTCATTTAAGTAATAGCTTAAAGATTGTGACTTATAACAAAAGCGAATTAGGTATCGGACACATTGGCACATGACATTTACCATAATCAAGCATTGCACAGGATTGGCTCACGTCACATCATCATCGACCGCAGTCATTTAGGTCTAGCATGGTGGCATCACCTACCTAGTGATTAGTGCATTAGTAAATCGATAGTATCAAATCAAATTATTTGAAACCGAAGAACGAAAGTGCAAATGAACGTATGCAAAGTTGTCTGGGCTTACGCTAGTCACGCCTCCTATTCTGATACCGTTTTCGAACAGTGTTGTTACGTAACCGAGATTCGGGAGAGACACATAATCACGAACCGAAAGCGAATAAAAGCTCGACAATTCGGAATGGTGACATAATAGCGGGGGTCGTCGTGTTTCACTTGAAACGCTTTTAGTACTGCCGAAACGCCTAGCATATCCGACAGCAGCACTACACTTGATAAAAAAATAAAATTAGCTTCAAATGCCTTTACGAGACATGCTCACATGTACAGCGCTACCGATACTTATTGATGCATTGGGAATCAGACACTTCGAACTGTCGAATTTAGGCTTACAAAAAATAATCTGGCTTGTTGTAAGGACCTCAAATGTTTTAGTAGCACTGATGTAAAATCGTAAGTAACGTCGTACTTGTAATAATAATAAGTACCTACAATTTTCAGTACGAAACAGCAACTAGCGATGCCGCATAGTTTTTGATAAACGTCTCATCAATTTCGAATTGTATAGAGTTGATTATGTTGGTATAGGTGCGTTACGATGATGAGGATGAGGACGAGGGTCCCCAGCCGGACGCTACCTTGGAGCAAGGTCTACCACTGCCGGTGCGCATGCAAGGGTCCTTCCCGCTCGAACTCGCCTCTACACCACTCGAGGACATCGACCCCTTCTACCACAATCAAACAGTGAGTAACCTAAAGTAGTCTACCTTTATCAAAAGTCACATTTGATTAGATGTAACTAATTAAGAATTCTTTTTGTGATCGTACATTAGATTGGTAACATTAAGTATATCGTAAAAACATTCATAAACAAGTGTGTTCAACCTTTGATTTTCTTGTATTCTTTATAAAACAATTTAACTATTTAGGTATGAATTTGATATTTACACCATACGACTTTAGAATGAACTTCACCCACGATATTTCTTGAATACTAAGAAATGTCCTTTCGAAAACCTGGTTTGAGGAGAGTACTTAGTGGTAGACAGCGGCTTGTTTGTGGCCCTGCCATTGCTGACGGCTACGGGCGATGGTGATCTTTCACCATTAGATGGGCTATATGCTTGTCTGCCTACAAAGGCTATAAAAATGCGGTTACGGGTCCGGCCTCTTGTGGTTGTTGTATAATAATACACCCCATCAACGGTAGCATCGACATCGATGATATTACGCTAACTTATAGCTAGCTCTGTTTTGAGTTCACGCAATTAAGTACTGTCGTATTAAGTAGTGTCTGTATCTGCTACGAATCAATCATTCGCTGTCCTCATGCAACTAAAACTTCGACCTTCGATACATACTGTATAATCTCTGCGTTTCGAGCTACTCAACCTTTTTTTTTTATAAAATAGTTATAAAAACTAGTCACTATGATGAAGCATATTGAATTAATGATACGAAATTCGCCTGACATACGACGATAACAACCAAATCCGTTCTAAATGCGAAATTATGTTGAATCATCTCAGAACACATGTTGGCAACTAACGCTCAGATAGCTGATTAGAGGCAAAATAAAAACTGAAAATTACGCAACAGAAAAACAGTTTCACGTCTGCAAGAACTAAATTAGATTTTTTCATAAGACGTTCGTTTCAACTCTGAATCTTTTCCTCTTTTTAAAGTGACATACGTAAAAACTTAGATTTTAATTTGCACTGGCAAGATACGAGTATTGTATAAATGACAGTATATTAAGCGGTGCAGCTTAGCCCACTGAGTTTCTCGCCGGATCTTCTCAGTGTGTCGCGTTTCCGATCCGGTTGTAGATTCTGCGAAGCACGACTCTTGCTAGGGTTCGTGTTGGCATCGTCGTCAGGTTTGAGCCCCGTGAGCTCACCTACTAGTTAAGGTTCCGCTGGAATAGCCTCTCTAGGCTACCAGCTTAGGTTAAAAAAAAAAGGTGCAACTTATGGTGCAAGGTGAACTAAGATTTTAGAAGATTACGAAGATTATACTTTACTATTTTATACTTTTATTATTATTAAGAAACATACCATTATAATTTTTGATAATAGCAATTTATTATGCTCTCGGTATCCGCGAGTTCTAGTCATAATTAAAACTATCTTTTACTTTAAAGTATTTGAAATGTCGAAAAATGTAAACGATAACAAAAAACGCGAGATTAAACCGTAAAAGTAATTTTTAAATATAACAAAAACTATTTCTATTTAACTATTAAATAAACTATCGCCTAAGTTAATGGCAGGTTTTATGGCTTATGACTGTTTATACTCGGAGCCATTTAAATCAGAATATATCTAATAATATAATCGTTCTTCACTTAGCGCATTGAATTGATGAAACTATACAATTGCTACAAAGCAATACGTTGTATTTCAACTGCTAATGTTTTTTACGACTTACCGACCCCGGTTTTTATGTATACTAAGCTCGTGTAATGCCGCTTACATCTACATCTACACTAATATTATAAAGAGGAAAGATTTGTTTGTTTGTTTGTATTGAAGAGGCTCCGAAACTACTGAATCGATTTGAAAAATTCTTACACTGTTTGGAAGGTACACTATCCCCGAGTGACATGGCATATAATATTTTTTGAAAAAAATTAGGGATCCTTACTAAAACTCCAATAATGTAACCCAAGGTGTAAAAAAATTACCTAAAATATTCTTTACATCGCGTGCCCAGGGGAAACTATTGATGATAGAATAAAATAATATACTACGACTTTGTAGAGCACATTACTGTTTACAAAAAGTGCCGCGACCGCACATTTCTAACTATTATAGTTATGCCGCAATAAGTGTTATTTTATTTAAAAAAATAAAACAACAATAAATATCCATGAATATTTTGATGACACGCGCGGAGCCGGAGCGGGCCGCTAGTATAAAAATAAAATAATTTTCAATTATCTTTGTTATGTATATTAGATAATGTGTTTTTGTGCGAAGAATCAAAGTCCAAGAAATTAAACATTGCAAACGAATAATCTCTTCTTTGTTGTTCCGAATGAGCCGATAAGCTCACGACCCGCCGAATGTTAAAAGATTCACGACTTTGAGATATAACGTTGAAATGTCACTTATCCATACTAATATATAAATGTGAATGTAAGTTTGTTTGTTACGCTTTCACGCGAAAACTGCTCAACCGATCATCATGAAACTTTGTACACATATTCTTGGAGGTATTAGAAGTAACATAGGATACTTTTTACTAAGAAAAAATAAATTATTTTTACAAAAAAATAAAAAATTGTTTGTCAAAAAATCTCAAAATTTAGCTTCTTCAACGCCATCTACCGGTTCAGTAATGAAGTTCCAATCCTGAGTACTGTAAATGAAGTCGCGGGTAAAATTTAGCGTGATGCCAAAGTAACTATTCCACGCGGGCGAAGTCGCGGGCAAAAGCTAGTATTCTATAATGGCTCTAGCACCCAACATACCGAAAAGAATGGTGGCTTTACGGCAGAAATATGCAAGATACTATATAGCCGTGCAGCCTTATACTAAGTACAATTACAAATTAATTCTGGTTTTCGATGACAGTATATTGGTTTATTACGATGAGAAATAGATCATTCTTGGCGGAATCTCTTAGTCGGCTTTAACACCCAAAGGAAGAGATCGGCTGTTGATATTCAAGGTAGTGGAGACGTCGCTCAAATAAAACACTTATCGTTTTGTTACAGACCTTCGTAGTTATAAGCAAGGGTAAAGATATCTTCAGATTTTCGGCGACAAATGCTCTGTGGATATTAGACCCATTTAATCCCATAAGAAGAGTGGCTATATACATATTGGTACATCCTTTGTTTTCGCTGTTCATTATTACGACAATCTTAGTGAATTGCATACTTATGATAATGCCTACAACGCCAACAGTTGAAAGTACTGAGTAAGTATCTTTGATTCTACCGCGCCATTTACATTTTCCAATTAAATTTTTAAATATATAAAACCCATATGACGACAGAAAGAAATTACTAGGTTCTAGAACCTGTGTAGAATGCACGCTAGTTCAAATTGTTAGTTATCGGCTAGTTTTGAAATAAATTTTTATCGATTATTTAGAATTAAAGTAAATTACGATATTAGAGTTGGAATAGTTAGAGTATCGAAATATTTAAATTTATTAAAGATTACCCGTTTGCTTTAGAAATCTGTTTTAGCATTTAATTGTAACTTAAATGTGTAAAACTGAAGCAAATTTTGGAATTGTTAGCCAAAAATTTTATTATTTCATATGAACAACAAGTCATCATTGTATTTATTTTGTAGATATATTTTAATAGAATTTAATAATCATAAAATGCTATAGCATTTACAATAATACCGGGAACATATTATTTTTGCATACAGACAAGATTGTTCATAGATTGAAACTTTAAAGTGCATAATAAATAATTTTCATTATTTAAAAAACTTAATAATATAGTAATGTTGATGAAAAAAAAAAATACTCCTTTGTTTCATGATGTTTTCTCTTTAGCTACCTTTGAAACACGATTGTATTTTTGTCGAGTGGCGTTCCTCAGTGGAGGTGAATTTTTCCAGAGTTATCTTTACCGGGATCTACACGTTTGAATCAGCGGTGAAAGTAATGGCCAGGGGTTTTATACTACAGCCATTCACATACCTTAGAGATGCATGGAATTGGCTTGACTTCGTAGTTATAGCTTTAGCGTGAGTAGTAGAAAATTTTATTGAATTCAATGTAGTTTCTTATAAAAATCGTTGAACAGTAGATTTAAAAATTGTTAATAGTAGATTTAAAAGTCGTTATTCTTAATATGCCCTAGTTTTCAATAGAGAATTACAGCGTTTCAAAATCAATAATTTGTACTGTAAACATAAATTTGGACATGATTATTTCTAGGGACATGTGGATACAACATATTATTAGTAGACTTTCAAAATTCTTTGTACGATAAGTTTAAAGGAAAATTGTCAAAAAAATATCTAGTATTGTTTTACGTAGTGACGTAGTAGCGCGTATTAACGTAGAGTTTGTGTTTGTGGATGTTTGTTTCCAGTTATGTGACGATGGGCATAGATCTCGGAAACCTAGCCGCTCTGAGAACGTTCAGGGTACTACGAGCGTTGAAGACTGTGGCCATAGTACCGGGTAATCCTAACATACATTTCAGTAGCCGCATAGTTATAGTATATGCGAATAGAGTAAAGCTTAGATGGTTAAATAATTAACGTTAGTATTGTACGCTTTGTTTTTTAATAGTCAAGTTATTGGAATTAATTTGAATGTGCCTTCCAATTTCAATTGGAACACAAAGATCGAAATTTATTCTTTTAAAATCAAATAAAACATTAGTTACTTGGGTGAGTGATAGTCCTATCGTGAATCGATTAATAATATTAGCGTTATCAAACCAATTTTTTTATCCATTTGACAGGCTTGAAGACGATCGTCGGTGCTGTTATAGAATCCGTGAAAAATCTCCGTGATGTAATAATTTTAACGATGTTTTCGCTGTCCGTATTCGCGTTGATGGGCCTACAGATTTACATGGGAGTTTTGACGCAGAAGTGTGTCAAAGTGTTCCCGGAGGATGGCTCTTGGGGTAACCTGACCGACGAGAACTGGGAGAGGTTTTGTCAGAACGAAAGTAAGTCCAAATAAAATACTGATAAAAATAATATTCAAACTATTTATTTTCTATCCCGAAGACTCGAAAAGTCGGTTTAAGTAACCATCACGAATACGAATTATATAGATCCGCAAAACTATAGACATGGACTTTGCTTAAAGAACTCCGAAACTGAAGTGGCAGTATACATTTCTGAGTATACTACATATATCATTTAAAAAAAACTGAAAGCGTGATGTTCGGTGACTAGTCTTGAGCCTTTGACGTTTATATGAGAGGAACGTTTATTGATGCTTTAATCACGACCGTAATACATTTATGGCTTTTACCCATAGAGACAAGCCACTAAGTTTTTCACCGGATCTTCTCAGTGGCTCGCTATTTCGATTCGGTGGTAGATTCAGCACTGTTCTTTCTAGGACAAATGTTAGAACTTTTTTCTAGACTGAGCCTCATGAACTCACTACATAATCGCGATGAAGCCAGAATATTCCCACGAAGCTACTAGTCGATAGGTAGACAAAATCAAAGCGACTCCTAAGCTTGATCATAGGAGACGTGAAAACCCATTTAAATAAACAAAACTAAAATGGCTGTGCACTTATTTTAGCTAACTGGTATGGAGAAGGGGGTGATTATCCTTTATGCGGCAATTCATCAGGGGCAGGGTAAGTTTGCTTTATTTAAAATAACTTTACATTTCTACTGTTTTACAATATACGACCGTAAATACGCGTATGCTTAAGCTTACTACTTAAGTATATATATACTATACTACACATGTAAACAACTAGCATGACATAAAGTAAAAGACTTAAATAAAAATACGCTATTTTACTATAACTTTACAGACTGTTGTAAAGTTTAGTTGTAGTATTTGTAATAATTCGATTAACGATGATTGATATAATATATCAACCGAACTAAGCTGATTTAACACAAATAAAAGCGAAAGTTATTAAATATTAATGAATCATTGGCTCATCATCCATGGGCTCCGGTAACTCCGGTAACTCCGGTAAATAAATAAAAGTAACGTAAAGATTTATTTTTTCTTATTAAAAAAGTTGTAAGCAAGATAATAATTGCATACTATAGCAGTTGTTCAATAGTCCAACTGTATGGAAAATTTATCGTTTTTTTCTTTCAATAGACAATGCGAACCGGGTTACGTTTGTCTTCAAGGCTTCGGTCCAAATCCGAACTACGGATATACAAGCTTCGACACCTTCGGTTGGGCATTTCTATCAGCTTTCCGTCTAATGACACAGGATTATTGGGAAAATCTCTATCAATTGGTAAGGTCATAGCGTTATCTAAGAACGAAAAGTCAGTATTTCCTAATCAATGCCCTTCAACATATCGACGCTTGAAAGGCAAACGTGACTAAGCGACAATAACTGCTTTATACATAAATGATAGGTAATAACCATATTCGATGCGCAAAAAAAATATATTTCTAGGTCTATTAAAATCATTTCAATCCTACAGCTAGATTCGTTAAAATATTTATTTTTCAGGTATTTCAACTTTAAATTAGTCTACTGTAAAGTTCACGCATTGTCGCTTAGTCACGTTTGCCTTTCAAGCGTCGATATATTCTATATCTTACATATCCTTTATTTTAGGTCTTAAGATCAGCTGGCTCGTGGCACGTATTGTTTTTCGTAGTGATAATATTCCTGGGATCTTTTTATCTGGTGAACTTGATTTTGGCTATCGTCGCCATGTCATACGATGAGCTACAGAAGAAAGCCGAAGAAGAAGAACAAGCAGAAGAAGAAGCTTTACGGGTACAGAATTAGAATGTGATTAATGATTAGAATTAGAATTTACTCGAATTTCGTTATAATAACTAACAGGGTCAGTGTATTTCCAATAAATTATAGTTTGTTACCAACCAGATTAGTACAACCAGATTAGTAGTAGATTATGAACAGCCAAGACCTTTTGTTCATCGATATTTGTTTAATTTATCGCAAATTTAACAAGGTTATCGCAACGATTATATAAGCTTGATGTAGTCTTTTATCTAGAAAATATTATCATGTATTTCCTGTATTTAATAGTATCAATGTTCTTATTCCTCATTATTTTATTGTTATTTTTTTTGTTTTGTTTTCGAAATATAATTAAGATAACTCTGTAACAAATCAAAGAATCTCAAGACTTTTCACTGGTGGTAGGCCCTCTTGTGAGTCCGCGCGGGTAGGTACCACCGCCCTGCCTATTTCTGCCGTGAAGCAGTGATGTGTTTCTATCTGAAGGGTAGGGCAGTCGTTGTAACTATACTTGAGACCTTAGAACGTATATCACAAGATGGGTGGCGCATTTACGTTGTAGATGTCTATGGGCTCCAGTAACCACTTAACACCAAGTGGGCTGTGAACTCGTCGACCCATATCTATCTATCTATCAGTATATATTATTATATAAAAATGAATTGCTGTTCGTTAGTCTCGCTAAAACTCGAGAACGGCTGGACCGATTTGGCTAATTTTGGTCTTGAATTTATTTATTCATGGAAGTCTAGAGAAAGTTTAAAAGGTGGATAAATATGAAAATGCTCGGAATTATATAAAAACAAACAATTTTGTTTTTCCTTTGATGTGTCCCCTGTCGGACGGATTCCTTTTGTGTGTTTATAAGTTTATTTTGTACAAAAATTTAGGTCTTGGCATTACGAAGTCTGTCGGGTCAGCTAGTAAACGATATAAAAATAAAGACTTTTGGGCGCCATCTTGATGTAAATACGTATTTAAAATAATTTAGCTAATTTTGAATTTTAGGAGGCAGAGCAGAAAGCGGCAGCGAGAGCGGACAAACAAGAAGCACGAGAAGCCCACGCGAGAGAACAAGCGGCGGCCGCGGAGGCTGCAGCTTACGCCGAGGCGCATCCCGCCAAGTCGCCGAGTGACTTCTCCTGTCAAAGCTACGAGCTGTTCGTGAACCAGGAGCGGGGCAACCAAGACGACAATACCCGGGAACGCATGTCCCTACGTAGCGACCCCTTCCAGGACTCGGTGAGCACTCAGCCCGCGCACAAGCCCACCGCCACCGACACGCACGACTCCGCACGACGGCCGAGGAAGGTCAGCATGGTGAGTACGCGTCGCGCCTTCACAATATCTCACTGATAACGACTCATTCAACCAAAGGCTGTCAAAGGCATTCGACATTTTTATTAATATTTTAAGAAATAGTACTGTTTTTTTTATATTATTGTATTCAATATTCGAGCCGATGAATTGCCAATGTTGTCACATGCATCAGGCCATAAATTAAATAGTTTAAGTTTCTTTTCAATGTTAAATATTTGTGATGTGGCAGTACTTTTTTTTAAATAAATAAATAAATAAAAGGCTTTATGAAGCATAGTGTAAAATCTCTGAACGCAAACGCAGAACCACTATTCGGCATTTGTTGATTATTTTTATATTTTTAAAGAACGACTACGACCCTCATTCCCTATGTGTTTCTATTTGAAGAGTAGACTAATCTATATTCCAATGCAATTATGTCTTTATGTCTCAAGGTGGGCGGGCGGTGATGTTGTGTTGCAATCCCCATGGGTTTTAGCAACCACTTTAAATCGAGTAATCCGCCTAAAAAAACATTAAAGATCAGTTATAAATTAAGATAAATAAGAGATTCGTTGTCGAAATTCGAAAAAGCCGCTTCAACGTTCCGCAATGTGCGCCAATCGTCTAAACCTTTAGCAGATCATATTATTAATTTTGACAATGTAACTTTAATGATTTATTATTTTAAAATACATTGTTAACCTTAATTAGTATGAAATAAGTAGCGTTTATGACCGACGGTGATAATTCACCATTCAATAGGCTATATGTTAATTTACCAACGAGGCTAAAAAACAAACAAATTAATGAAAAAATCATCACTGAAATCGTTTCATAGCTTTACCTACAATAGCTATCAATATATTCTTCTTTTTCATATCCAGACACCGGTCACAAACTCCTCATTTTATAAATTGAAAACGACAGAAATGTCATTTTTCTGACCTACCTATATAAATTTATTTTTCTTCTAATATTTAATGAGTCATTATCAGTCGAACATACCTTTTCAACTTGACATTGAAATTAACACCCGCTTTACATCCGAACAAGCTTTTGTTGATTGATACAAATCATCAAATCACGTGAGTTTTACTGCTCAACATCATCATCATAACAACAATATTGGCTCAAGTTGAAAAGAGAATTTATTTGAAACTGTGTCTATCGCTAAGCTTACATCTTCTTTTTGTCTCGATTATAGAACGATATTTTGTGCAATTGCAAATATATCCTTAAATTACAAAAAAAAGGGTAATTAAAATACGCTTTATACAATCTTGTAATACAGGAAGTATTTGCAATTACGAAATAACAACCGTTTTCGACCCCTTATTTTATTTTTTAGTTTTTTTTATTTTATTTCAAGGTCAATCAATGCAAGAATTTCTTAAGCATGGTACCTGTCTAGACGCAGTTAATAATTCAGTCGTCAATTTAAATTCGAAGCGCGAATTCATATTTCATTTTATTATTTATCCTAGTTCATATTGACATGAATGTTACGTCTTTTTTTCTTAATGTAGATATTTCCTCAATTAGATCTACTTAGTGGATATCTCTATTTCTATACCTATGCACGAATCGGCTCATTTTTTATTCGAACTACACTCAATTAGAATCAGAAATTGCATGCTCTGACTTCAAAATTACTAATCTCCAATATTATTTCTAATAAACATCATACCATATCTATACGATATAAATTTACTTAATATGACCCCAAACTGTAATGCCCCCAATGGATACAATATTTTGTGTATTATAAACTTTATGAATAGTATTGGAGAATAACGGATCTATTGTCATGGTAGATTGTTTCTTTTGCAATTAAGTTTTATGAACGAGCCGCGCTGACAATGAACATTTCTACGAACTAGAGGTAGGTTCAGTCTTAATATATCTACATAAATTTTAATATATTGTCAGTATCAAACATTAAGGTTTATTCAGTACGTAAGTAGTAATAATTTCTCAATTTCGATAAGTGACGTGCGGAGGCTTCAGCATTTCGAACAACAAAAGAAATGTCGTCATGACTATAGATCTAGTTTGATATTTAAAACATGAACTAGTTAATCGCAACAGTGCATGTGAACCCCACATTACTTCATGTGTTTATAAACAAAAACAATTTGCTACCGCTTCTACTTAATCATCATCGCAACTTCTTTTTTTATTTATTTGACTTGCAATAAGAATTTTCTGAACATTCACTAAGGGGCATGGATTTGTTTTAAATTATCTTTCTACTAAATTCAAATTGACACTCCATAAATATTCACTAGTCTAGATTTGTTTAAAATTCTTATTGTGTTTCCGATACAACAAAAGATCACACATTTTTTTTATTTAGTCAAAATTGACACTTAAGCATTTACGTATATTAGAGTTAGCTTTGACGCTGCTAGATTAATTTAAATTTTATTTAAGTTTGCAGTCATGCGTGCTCTGCCCTTTACCCAACTTTTAAAGGTTTTACTTTTAAAAGTAAATTATTTGTTTTAAATTCATTACAAAATTAATACATTCAAAATTTTCTTTGTGTATTGNTTTTTTTATTTAGTCAAAATTGACACTTAAGCATTTACGTATATTAGAGTTAGCTTTGACGCTGCTAGATTAATTTAAATTTTATTTAAGTTTGCAGTCATGCGTGCTCTGCCCTTTACCCAACTTTTAAAGGTTTTACTTTTAAAAGTAAATTATTTGTTTTAAATTCATTACAAAATTAATACATTCAAAATTTTCTTTGTGTATTGAAGGTCCCTCACCCCGAACGCATTAATAAAATCGGCCAGTTGTCATATGGGCCACTGCGCGAGGGTTCACAGGTTTGTCCATTAATCCTCATTGGTGTTTGTGCTCCCCTTCTTCTTATTATAAACCTCTCTATTTTTTCAAATAGAAAAACTGTTGTATTCTTGTCTTGTCTTTTTAGATTATACTTTCCTTTGAAACATATTAATTTGACATCTCTATGCAGCAATCCGTGGTTTTGTACTAACACGATCATTCAAAACATGTATTGATGCAATGAGGACTACAAAGCACCTAACATTTACTTTCCGTATTTCTTTATATCCTTGTAACTATCACTTTTTTTCGTAATTTTGTTTATCAGCACATGAAAGTAAATACCATTTATAGAAAGAGTAACTATGACTACTACGTAAAGCTTCAACTAAAGCCTCTGCAACCGGTTACTTAGTCAAATAGATTAACATGTCTAACATCAGGAAATTGAGAAAATCCAAAACACTAATCGATTGAATTGAGGAAAAATATGTCAGTACCTACATCGTAAAATAAAATTAATAATTCAGTAAAGTTAATTTATGAAATAACTGTTTAAAAAGCGTAGCTCCAAGTCTTAGACCTAAACTGCTTTACGGCCCGCAGGCGTCTTTATCATTGCCTGGTTCTCCATTCAATTTGCGCCGTGGTTCACGTGGATCTCATCAGATGGCTCTGAGACCTAACGGTAGACCGAGATATCCTCCCGGAGGGGATCGGAAGCCACTGGTTTTGTCTACGTACCTCGATGCACAGGAACACCTGCCTTATGCTGATGACTCGAACGCTGTCACACCGATGTCTGAAGAAAATGGTGCTATCATCATCCCGGTTTATTATGCTAATTTAGGTGAGCCTTCTTTTACCGCTAATTTTTTTTTATTGATTATTATGACTAATTTAATGATTTATTTAATTGGTGGTGGTCAGATAACACACGGTCATTTGGTAACCAACCAGGATATCCAGTATTATGGGAAGGAACAAGATGCTCCCTTCTTTCTCTCAGGAGGCGCCGGAGTCCGACATAGCCCGGTCCGTTACCCCCCTCGACCGGGTATCCGTAAATGGATTCCCCAGTGTAAAAAAAAAAGAGGCTGATATACATACTTATATACGTTTAAACACCCAACAAAGAGTAAATAAAGCTGTTCTCCAAACGAGAGCTTCACAAAAATTGCAATCGAAACGACGAGCCCTTACACAGGGACACTTACTGCTGCGCTAATGATTCAGAAAATATGATGTTGTGTTTTTTTCATCAATTCTTTGTGCAAAAGTCTGTTAGTTATTATATTATTATTTAAGTTAGTTAACAGTTAAACAATTTGAAAGTTAGTTAAACAATTTGATTACGGTCGAAAATTAATGAATATTTTTTCTGGATTTTCAGGATCCCGACATTCTTCATACACGTCTCATCAGTCACGTTTGTCTTACACGTCTCACGGGGACTTGTTGGGCGGAGGGAAAGCTCAAACTAAGGAAGCTAGATTACGCGGCAGGTCCGCTTCTAGGAACCACAGTGTGACGTCACAGCCTCACGCCTATCCCTTACCTAGACAAGACTCCTCGCTAGCATCTAGACCCCTTAGAGAATATGTAAGTAAAAATTTGTTGTTTTGCACTGTAACTTAAACGAAATTGCGAAGTAAAATAATCATTGACTTATTGCTAAACATGTTTTCCGTACTTTGCAGCTAATTCTCATATTCTTAACAATCATATTATAACTTTTCTGTTTTGTATGATTTACTGGCTTAATTGCCAAAAAAGTCGTCTTAATTCTCATATCTCACGCAGAATTGGGGCTTAAATAAGCTCAAGGTTACAGGAAACTTTACTTCGAATCATAGATAAATTAAGAAAAGTCCAGAAATACCAACGTTTCCCGCGAGATGAGGGCTATTAATAATTATCTGGCTTGTGAAGCTAAATTTATCAATCGTATAACGGGTATCCTGTGTGTGTCACCATAAGATTCGATAGATATTAAATTCGTAAAACTTTTGCCCTCGTTGAGTGGGATTCTGTAGACATCACAAGGTGAAAGATTCCGTTCTTTTTAAAACATGAGTTCTAAATCTCAATTGTATTGTATTCTATAGGTTATTTTACTATTAGGTTGGAAAGCATGACTACTTTGTGGTAAAAAGGGCCAGGATGGTTGCCTGTGCGGGGTCACACCATTGATATAATTTAACATTTATTTCCAGGAAGTAAGTACGACTGAGTGCACAGACGAAGCTGGAAAAGTTCTGAAACCATCAAGCGATAATCCGTTCATAGAATCGTCACAGCAGCCTAACGTAGTGGATATGAGAGGTGCGAACTATTATCTGTAATTATTGTTATGATATGATACTGGTGGTAGGACCTCTTGTGAGTCCGCGCGGGTAGGTACCACCGCCCTGCCTATTTCTGCCGTGAAGCAGTAATGCGTTTCGGTCTGAAGGGTAGGGCAGCCGTTGTAACTATACTGAGATCTTAGAACATATCTAAAGGTGGGTGGCACATTCACATTGTAGATGTCTATGGGCTCCAGTAACCACTTAACACCAGGTGGGCTGTGAGCTCGTCCACACATCTAAGCAAAAAAAAAAAAAAATATTGCTTTTATGGGTGGAGCTCATCATTTAAGGTCGGGACATTCTCTAGGGAAATAGTCGTAGTGGTTTCCTCTTGCCTTCTACGCCAGGTTTTGTTGAAGATTTTTAGTTCTTCTAGGCCCCTGTAGCCTCTCCAAAGTGGGTTTCCCCAGTTTGGGGTTGGGTTATCAGTATCCGCCGCCCGAAACTCGGTGTTGTCAAGCTCGTTTTGCACCGAAAAAGATGGAGTGACCAAGTGTCCGAGTATTTGGACATGAGACTGAGCCACGCACTTCACTGTGCCACTGACCGCCAAAAGTGGCTATAAATTACAAAAAAAAATCACAGGCGGGCGCATCATGATGCTCAGCAATGAGCGATCGACTGAAGGAGGAGGAGGAGGATGGGTGGAGCTCGCAGCCTACCTGGTGTTAAGTGGTTTCTGGAGCCCTTAGACATCTATGACGCAAATGCGCCACCCACCTTGAGATATAAGTTCTAAGGTCTCAAGTATAGTTACAACGTCTGCCCCACCCTTCAAGCCGAAACGCATTACTGCTTCACGGCAGAAATCAGCAGGGTGGTGGTACCTACCCGCGCGCTAAAATTCTATGGGTACTTTCTCTACTCTAAATACTCTATAGTGTGTTATCACGTTATCCGTCGAAATAACTCCGACGACATTATCCAGCTGAAAAACTCAACTAATTCGTCAAAATTAAAGTAAAATTATTTTATTTCAGACGTAATGGTATTAAATGAAATCATTGAACAGGCTGGACGTCAGAGTCGGGCGAGCGAACAAAACGGTACGATTAAATATATCTATAAAAAATATCGATGTTGTTTTTGTGACAACACTATATTCGTTCGTATTTTATTCAGTGTTCAACGTGATTGATTTTGCTTTTTTATATTATTATTATAATACATTCAATAACCACACAATACAAAAACACACTACACGGAACAGGTATTTGCTCATTACGCAAAAAAGGCATAATTGGCAAAGTTATAAATCGTTTGTGGATGTCATTTATTGGTAGAAAACAATAATTTTAGTACTGCACTCACAAAATACGACTCTCCACTTATCATTTTGCACAAGTTTTTATACACTATAGTAACACTATAGTTAAGTCATTTTTTTTCAATCACAATGATGATATAAAAGTAATTTAAAATTTTGATACATTATAGCGCACTATGAGTTCCCTTGTGTCGACATATTTACTTATATTAAATAGAAGCTGGGTAAATGGTGGTAATGGTCGATTCATTGGGATGCTTATAAAACATTCACATCATACCCATGTCTTCTAAACAAACTCGTCAGCATGAATCCCGCCTTTATATAAGCGAAAATAGCATCGGCATAAGTTTGCATCATCAGTCAGGTTTATCTCACATAGATGAGTCCTAATGCTGAAATATTTAAGCTGACTTATACAAGCATATCTCTTTACTTATTGAAGTTTCAGTATACTAAAACTTTTTGGTATCACTGCCCTTGGAAACAATAATGCAGTCTGTTTTAGCGAGCAGGATAACCGGTATTTTAAAACATCTGAGACTAGAACTGTATCTCTCAAAATGAGCAAAGGTATTCACTATAAAATCCCATAGACACAATCCACTAAGTTTCTCACCGGACCTCTCAGTGGGTAGTGATTTCGATCCGATGGTAGATTCAGTAAAGCACTGCCTCTTACTAAGGCCAGTGTTAGCAATTTTCTCAGGTTGAGCCCATGAGCTTATCTACCGGTCCGTGAGTAGTTGGAATATGCCCCCAGACTACCAGCGATTACGTAGGGTAAAAAAACTATAAACCAAAATAACTGAAAACATGTTTTATGTAAACCACAATTCTGCACTGACACTTAATTTGAACAGGCTCAGCAATATCAATTGTTCAATGGCTATAGCATGCATTATTTTGCAAGCCCGTCCTAACCGTGACATTAGATCTAGATTGCATTATTTTTTAAACAAGACAATATTACAATTATAGTCAATATGTAGCTTAAACTAATTATCCTTTAAGAACTTCATCTATGCCTTTGCTATACTAATCGTGGACGAAAGGTAGTTCAGAAATAAGCTGTAATATTATTTGGTCGATATTCATATTTTTTGGCTCCAGACTATCATTGCAGAGAATTTGATATAAACTATGACAATTTCATAGCATAGACAAAGCAAATAGTTAAAGCTTTTCACAAATAAGAATATTAGTATAATTCATAAATGAGAAGACCTGCACGAATTACCTAGCACTGTTTAAAAAGAGTTCTGATGTTGAGTGCTCACGGTAAATATCAGCAAAGAGCTTGCCAGCACTTCATACAACTGGTTTGTACATCCATCTTGTAGTAAATGACAACCAGAAAAGCAACAAAAAATATGGATATTGTAACATCAACTAAAGATTTAATTAAACAATATATCTATAGCAGTGTACCTTATTATTTGTGAAGATCTCTCTGTTATCTCACTTCTAAACTTAATAATGAGCGAATACTAACAAAAATATTTCTTTGTCTTCAACACACAAACACACTGCTGGTAAACGGGACGCAACAGTGTCAGTGTACTACTTCCCAACAGCCGAAGACGATGAAGATGGACCCACATTTAAGGAGAAACTACTCGATTGTCTAATGAAAGGAATAGACTTCTTCTGTGTGTGGGACTGTTGCTGGTTGTGGCTCGAGTTCCAAAAATACGTAGCGCTGTTGGTGTTCGATCCATTCGTCGAGCTGTTTATCACCCTTTGTATTGTTGTGAATACACTATTTATGGCTCTGGACCATCATAACATGGATAAAGACATGGACAAAGCGTTAAAAAGCGGCAATTATGTGAGTACCTAATCTAATTTTAACACGTTGAACGCCATATGAAAAATCGAGTATTTTCATTCAGGCCACGGTGCTCACTGGTGAGACTTATCTTACTGAACCATTCGGGCCATGAAGCTCACCCGTGAGCCGCTGGAGTGTACCAACGTAAACACTTCCTACAAGACACATGCAGCTATCAAACAAAACGCGTATGGAAGTGAGCCGCGTGGCCCTTTAGCCGAACCGAACGGCGTGGTTTTTTAAATCCAACAGAAACTTGTAGTTTTTATCAAGGTTATAGCCATATATTAAAAACTAGACGGTAAAATTCGCAAATTTTTATCTTCCGTGCAAATTATCACATTTTATAATTTTAGAATGAAAACCTCAAGTTACTGACAAAATTACTGATTCCCTGATTTTGGATTGGCCGGAATGGTACTATAGTATGTTATGCCCACCGGTGGGACGAAAAGCGTTCAACGTGTTAAAAGTAAATCAATTGATGTTTCTCGTTTTAAACGGATCGAGTTTAATTTTTCAGTTCTTCACGGCGACATTCGGCATAGAAGCAACACTAAAATTAATAGCAATGAGCCCGAAATATTATTTCCAAGAGGGATGGAATATTTTTGATTTCATTATTGTGGCCTTATCACTGCTTGAATTGGGGCTTGAGGGTGTTCAGGGTTTGTCGGTATTACGATCGTTTCGTTTGGTAAGTGTTATTCTTAATTTTCTTTTGCTTTGTGGACACACTAATAAATTTTCATTATTACAGTTTTTAATAACGTATTTAATCCCAAACTAGCATAAGAGGTGATAATATGTAACCCCTCATTGATAAATTATTCTTTCCGATTATTTAACAATGTGAATCTTCTTGTAAAAGTTCTGATTTTATCCTTTGTGGACATTTATATCTGAATATCATTAACGTGTAAATGTGATAAAATATTTTCAGCTACGTGTATTTAAACTGGCCAAGTCTTGGCCGGCGCTAAACCTTATTATATCCATAATGGGTAGGACGGTGGGAGCTTTAGGGAACTTGACCTTTGTACTTTGCATCATTATATTCATATTTGCGGTGATGGGAATGCAGTTGTTTGGGAAGAACTACACAGGTTCTAATTTAAAAAAAAATTTAGCATCTCTAATTAAAGAACTAAGCTTCATTATTAATTATTCAGCTTTACACTCCGAAACTTTTACACTGGGCTTGACAGAACATTATATTTACAAGGGACTATCGGTCCACGCTGTGGCTTTATAACACGGAATGTGGCTCAGAAACACTAATGAGCCTTATAAAAAAAACACAGTTATAAAGCTATACCACGCAGCTTCAAATCATAACTTAAGCTTTGCATCGAGTAATATAGATGACTTGCGGCTTTGCTTCCCAAAGAGAATTGACGCATCAAGTCGCAGCTGATGGGATCTATGTCGTTGCTAAAAATATTAGGCTAATACGCAATATAAAGTACAAATAAATGATCGAAATAAAAACAATAGCTCTCACGATAGCTAAAGGAAAAACATATATCCCACTCATCCGAAATATGTCAAAGCACATTATTAGGGACCCAAGCACACATTCGCTAGAACATAAAAATACTCTGGAATCACTTTTAAAACGGGGGCTCTATTCCAGTTTTGTAAGTGATTTGAGATCTGTGAAGGGATTTTCGCAGTAGCATAGGTGAAGCGCCGGTAAGCGAGCTTGTGTGACGCCTTGTTTCACAATTTGTAATTGCAGCTTCGAGTATTCAAATTGGCAAAGTCATGGCCGACTCTTAATTTACTCATCTCTATAATGGGTAGGACAATGGGTGCCTTGGGCAACCTGACCTTCGTATTGTGCATCATTATTTTCATATTTGCGGTGATGGGTATGCAACTGTTCGGAAAAAATTATGTCGGTAAGTGTAATTGGTGGGAGTGTTGCATGATCATTGGTGTTTGATTGGAATTGAAAAATTACGGCGAAGCCCGGTCTTTTATCCAATAAATGAACTTCAGCATTTATTGAAACTTTGTTCTTAACAATTTTATTATATGTATGTTTATGGCTTTGTTTGGTTATGATTTGGTGTTGCCCGATATCGTTGGCACTTGTTACCTTATTGTATGTACTCTAAGGGTAGTTGCTGAATTTCTATTCAACAAAAAAATCGATTCGCTAAATAAGTATATCTATATATATATTTTGTGTTGAAGTTCTTTTAATGACACATTTTAACTTTATTATGCAGACTTAATTTGTTCAAACAAGATTATCGAGCATCGAAGTCGGGCTTGCCGTTTAATTTAAATAGTGGATATTGTGTTTATGTGCGTCACACTGTTGTGTTTATGTTAGACTGTTGTGAAAACTTAATGTTATTTTCAAGTAAGCGTCATTCCTATGAATAAAATTCGCTTCCTGTATTGAAGAGGCCATATAAGAAGGCGCGTCACTTGTGAAACTCAATGCTGGCTTCTATCTAATTTCATCTTACTCTTACAATGCTTCTTTTATTACATTAAGCCTTCTCCAAAACATCATAAAAACGCTATTAGTAACTATTTACTTAAAGTAACTAGAATTTAAACTACAATTGTGTCGCATGTCGTAACAAGAACAATTAACATGAAGCTTTAATTATAATTTAATGTTCGATGTTTGCACGATAGTTTGCCTTAGTACGACACGGTAGAAATGCATTTTCCTATTCCTTTACTTAAATTTGAAACTATGATAAAGTGAACCGAACGTAAAGTAACTTCTATATAATTAGCTCTAAGTATTCCTCTCTTGTCAATTAAAAGTTTAAAAATTGAAAAAAAAGAGTAAATTTAATTCAAACATTTATTTCGATTAACTTTGTTCGATTAAACTCAGATTACAAAGCTTCTTGTAATCATTTTTAATAATTCCGTAATCGTGTATGCAGATTACGTAGACCGGTTTCCTGATGGGGACCTTCCTCGGTGGAACTTCACGGATTTTATGCACAGTTTTATGATCGTATTCCGAGTGCTATGCGGAGAATGGATAGAAAGCATGTGGGATTGTATGTTGGTTGGAGATGTATCTTGCATACCATTTTTCTTGGCAACCGTCGTTATCGGAAACCTTGTGGTTGGTATAGTCAGAATTATTTTTTTCTGTATTAAATATATTCATAAGCTAATAACTTCCATTTATATCGTAGGTACTGAATCTCTTCTTAGCCCTGTTGCTCTCCAATTTTGGTTCCTCGAGCTTATCAACCCCAACAGCTGATCAAGACACGAACAAAATCGCGGAGGCTTTCAACAGAATATCGAGGTTCATTGACTGGATAAAACGGAACGTCGCAGACTTCCTCAAGCTACTGAAAAACAAACTCACCAATCAGATAGCTATACACGCGCCCGGTAAGCCAATTTTTTTTTTATTGCCAGTCGTTGTGGCATGTTGATGTTAAATTATGTTGACAATTTATTTTTAATTTGTTTACTGTGAAATTCCAACTTGAATAATTTCGTATTTCCGACTGTTATCTGCACGTTGACTGTAATAAGTAACATTAACTCTACCTTAATCAACTGATATTGGCTCCTATATCTATGTTGCCAAAACTTGTGCACCTTCCTTAGTATATCTAACTGAATAATTATCCTAAAAAAATGTTGTGCATGATTAAAGCCCTGTGCAAATTACAGTTTATTGTTTAATATTGGTATTGACGAATTCCTTTTAACATTTAAAATTAAAAGTTATTTTTAATTGTTACTGGTGATCGTAAATTATGTGTACACTGTGCGTTGCCTGTACCCTTAGTTATCCAAGTGTAGATTACAGACCCCGTAATTAATGTTGTGTGGAAATTCCTCATTAATCGTTCTTGTAATTTATCATTCCAAGTTGTAAACTGTGTTTTTTTTTTCCAGTTCGAGTGTCTTAGTTACTGTGCTTGTATTTATTTATGAATGTTTGTAGCTTTGTGTGTGTATGTGTTTTATGTGCATGTAAATTATGTGCTCAATCAACATGTATATCTGTATCCTCGTTATTATTTACAACGAAGATAAGTAAACCTTTTTTTTTAATATTTGTATATTGTTGCTTAAATGTATATCATATAAGTCTAGATTACGAGTTACAATAAAAGAAATCATCTAAGTCAAGAAAGTGATATTTAATTAACAATATTTCAGCTTTTTTTTGTTTCTTCATCAACCTCAAAAACAATTTAGTAACAACAGCAAATTATCAAAAGTTAATTTTACGTACACATTAAGAAAATATCTGTTGATTTAGAAAACATAAGATATTTAATGATTATGACAATATGTATGTATACAATATCGTTTTTTTAATTATACAAAAAAACGCTACATACTTAATAAGTCGGTTTAAATAAATACTATTTTAGCAAAAAAAAGTATTATTTTGTGTTTTAAATAAAATAAATTTAAACGATCGAAAAAATTATAAAAAGGACGATAAAAATTATTTTTCTTGTAAATTTGCGTTTTGCTTGTAGGCCCGTCCGGGTAGATACCACTAATCTGCCTAATTCTACTGTGAAACAAATATGCGTTCTGGTTTGAAACAAAAAATAGCAGGTTTATTGTCAGGTCAAGTTAAAAAGCGTCTTAAAAACACCTTAAAAATAAAATTCATAATTCTCATGCATAAAATACAATCTCAGTTTTTCCAAATGCAAACCATTTTTAATATGTGTATTAATATTAAAAATTGATGTAATGCTTTGTATAAGAATCTTAATTCATATTAGGTACACACGCTAAATAAAATCATCTAAATTTTTGTCCGTAATATTTATATGCCAATTTATGAATCGTGTAAAGCAGTCTCTAAGTTCATTCGTACTCTGGTCTGATTTCTATGCTTGGATACTACGATGACGCAACGACGCACTTTGGGACACATTACCCGACATGTAGGCTTAAAAGCCGCTTTGTGTGGTCGCTGTGTCTCCTCAGAGCGGGTCGACAACGAATTAGAACTAGGAACTGACCTCGATGACGCCGTACTCTATAAAGACAAGAAACTCAAAGATCAAGTCGAAGTGGCTATCGGAGATGGAATGGAATTCACAATACCAGGTAACGTACATTCTCTTGTTATAGATATTGTAAATTAACACTACCGACAAAAACTATTAATTATAAATTTTCAATTTAAGGTGACAATAAATACAAAAAAGGTAAAATTTTGATGAATAATATAAATGCAATAACAGATAATCACAGGGACAATAGATTAGACTGTGAACTGAATCATCATGGATATCCTATTCAGGTGAACACCGAAGCATTGTATTTCATTCCATTTTGATTTTAACTTTACAATAATTATAATTTACTGACTTATGTTATATACTTACATGTTAAGGATGACGACACTATAAGTCAAAAATCTTACGGTAGTCACAAAATAAGATCATTCAAGGATGAAAGCCACAAAGGATCGGCCGATACGATAGATGGAGAAGAAAAGAAAGATGCAAGCAAAGAAGAACTTGGACTTGAAGAAGGTAGTAATTTAGGTATACCGGCTGTAAAATATTAGTTTATTTTTTGAAATTCGATCCATTTATTATTCCGTTTGTAGAATGAGAATATAACATAAAAAATAAGTTGCAGGAGATAAACATTGCTTAATTTTAATTAAACAACAAAATAAATATCAGAGAAAGTTAAAAAAACACAATATGGTTTTTTTTGTTCAGAATTGATCGAGGAAGACGAAGAGGGCAAACTTGATGGTACTTTAGGTAAAACGGATATAAAAGTAGGGGCCGATGAAGACGTTGTTGATGATACACCAGCCGATTGTTGTCCGGAACAATGCTATCAAAAGTTTCCATTTCTTGCTGGAGACGACGATTCGCCTTTTTGGCAAGGCTGGGGCACTCTTCGGCTCAAAACGTTCAAACTCATTGAAAACACTTACTTTGAGACTGCAGTTATTACCATGATTTTACTGAGTAGTTTAGCATTGGTAAGTATTTACACTATTTTGAGTTCAGGATATATCAACCAGATAAAATCATCAAACAACTTATGAATTTAATTTATCATCGGAAATTTCAGGCTTTAGAAGACGTACATTTACCACACCGTCCAATACTTCAAGACATTCTTTATTACATGGATCGTATCTTCACTGTTATATTCTTCATTGAGATGTTGATCAAGTGGCTTGCTCTCGGATTCCAAAAATATTTTACTAATGCTTGGTGCTGGCTTGATTTCATCATTGTGATGGTAATTTATACCTTGTTACTACATGTTCTAGACACAGTACTATTTTAATCTTTCATAGATTTGTTGCAGGCAACAAACATTCACGTACTAAAAAACAAGAAATGTTTTCTATGTACGCGTAATTTACTTCGATGATTGTCGAAATCAAGCAAAATTAAAGAATAAAATTTTCAATTGAATGTGTAATTATATCTTTGTAACTTGTAGAACTTTACCCATAAGTTATATACAGGGTGTAAACGAACTGTTCCCAAAGCCGAAACTACAATATACTACTAACCTAACGAAGACCAAACACAATATGAGAATTTTAACTATAAATACGTTTGATTTTGGTAACTTCATTTATTATCTTGAACCTGACAGATGTGCACTACGGTCCCTCGTATACTAGACGCACGCCGTACCCAATTTATTTCTTATTGTTTTATATTGTTATATATTTAAATTTAAAAAAGCATTAGTATTAATATACAGAGTGTCCCACAATTGGTATATCAAGCCGAAACGTGGCTATTGTATCAACAATGTAAATCACGTTGAAAATTCCATAAAATATAAGTCATAATTAGTAGATTCATACAAAAATTTATTTACTAATTGTTTCAACTTTTCGATGCCCTTGCCCCTTGCGATAGCCCTGAAGTGGTGTTAAGACGTTCATTGAATTAAACGCCTCATAAAGAGTTATGTTTAAGTGTTCTTTATTCCGAAACTTTTTGCTTTGAAAAAATTTGTTTTCTTCGAATAGACTATTCTCATAGAAGACTATCCGCAATTTTTGGCTCGATATACCCTCGATATGTCCTACACATCCTGGATATACATACGAAAAAGTTTTTTTTAAAGTATTATATTAAAAATCACCTGCCTTACATACCGGTCTTCGATTTCGGGAACTATTCCAATACACCTGATGTATAGTTAAGAAAATTTAAACGATAAGTGGTGTAACGTTAGTTATCGCTCGTAAACCACGGAGCGGTCATGGCTGGTGCTGACGACATCCCGGCGTTTCGTTCGATGCGGACTTTACGTGCCCTGCGTCCGCTCCGAGCGGTCTCCAGATGGGAGGGCATGCGCGTGAGTAGGCGCCCTCACGCCCAACGAGCGCTATCGGTGTCGATAAAGTTGCGCTGCTCATACAGAATGCACTACGCCCAACTGTGTGCTTAGTGCGAGTTTTTTAACGTTCTCGATAGCGTAAAAGTTAACTCATATTTGTAGGGAATAGGATCGTTTGCCTACCTCAGGTTTAAGCCCCGTGAGCTCACCTACTAGTTAAGGCGACGCTGATATAGCCTCTCAAGGCTATCAACTTAGGCAGAAAAAAAAAATTGGCTACGTTTGCCGCTAGGGGCGCTGTTCAAACTGCACACAAAACTGGGTTAACTTTTACGCTATCGAGAACGTTTAAAAACTCGCACTAAGCACACTGATAACAATTATATTAATTGTATATAACATAATTAATTAGTGGATAATGAGCAGCGCAATTAAAAGGTGTGCAGCTTTGTCTGTTCGATGTCCGTTGAAGCTGAGACTCCGATCGGCCTCACATAGCTGCCTCGAGCTCTCGATGTCGTCTATGTCTGTTTGTGGATACCGCTTCTAAGTGTCTTTTAACCCACAATTCCCGCTACTACTATATACATATAAAGTAGGACATTAATCTAAAGGCAACTTGTATATCTTGTCCCCGAAACTAAAACATGTGCATGAGACACAAAATCTAAATTAATGTACGCGCTGGTGTTCAACGTGCCGTTTTCATATAAGAATCCTGAAATTGTTCAATTACATAAGATTACTTCTAAACGTTATAATATATAGGTAATTCTTATTTATAATATTATTTAAAATGTTTACTTATATGGAAACAGTACATTTCCTAATACCTATGTATGCTATTTACGATTTTAAGAAACCTGCAGACCACAATAACGTTTGAAAGTACCAGTTTTGTTACCAATGCATTATGTAGATTTTCTTTATTCCAAGACATCGTTGTGTCGTTGTTACCCATATTTGTTAACATTTGTCTGTCTTCACAATACAAAACACAGTATATTCTCTTAGGTTAGTTTGTCGGTCGTTAGTCTTCTTCCAAATCGAGGACATAATCGACACTGATTTGTAATACATGGTTATATGAAATGTTAAACTTAAAAATTTTACAGAGTCGATAAAATCGTCATATTCGAGTAAGAAAACGTCCGTAACTTGTATTTATTTCAAAATGAAACCGTTGATTTCATCAGGTCTCGCTTATAAACTTCGTAGCGGCGCTTTGTGGTGCCGGAGGCATTCAGGCGTTCAAAACGATGAGAACACTGCGCGCACTGCGCCCGCTCAGAGCCATGAGCCGCATGCAGGGCATGAGGGTACGTACCACCCTGCGCGCGTTCTCGACCCCTTCGCTCATCCACTATACATCGCTCCACATTACAACACACATCTAGAGACATTTCTTTCATTAAATATTCCACTTTACGTCCGGACTACTTCTTTCCTACTTGACATAATTTCATCAAAAACATACTTATTAGTTTCGAGTCAGAAAAACGTCACCGGTAGTAGTCGTTCTATCGAAAATCGTTATGAAGTCGTCGATGGCACCCTTTGAATGGCTTATAAATAAATATCATCTCCATTGGTCATATTCCTGTTTTAACAATCGATCGGATTATTTCGAAAGAAAATTCATTTTTTGGTCTACTTTTCCTATTTGGATTCTTTAGCTAGATTAGTTTTTAGAGTTGTAAATTTCATAGTTAATTGGAATGTTTATTAGATTTTGCACCTTAGATGTTTCTTCTTCTCGTAACAACGTCGTACGACAACTTGCATGCGTTAGCTATATTTTGGACTAAATTATTTCAGAGGTAAGATTATAGCATCATTAAATCGCTTTACAAATTTGCTTGATGTTGTGGCACTGTTATGTAAACGTTTGTATGCATATTAGACACTGCATCTTACGCTATCTTTAAAACATACATTTATTTGGATCACAAAAAAGTTTGAAACTTAAAGCTTTCTAAAAAAAATACATAAATACACTATAAATAATTGCACTCACACATAAAGTCTTAAATTTTATTAAATACGTTTTCAAAATTTTCATATTTTTTTTAATTGTCATTTTAAAGTAATTTTCCTTATCCAGGTTGTTGTGAACGCCCTGGTACAGGCAATTCCATCCATCTTCAACGTACTCCTTGTATGTCTAATATTCTGGCTCATCTTCGCCATTATGGGTGTCCAGCTCTTTGCAGGAAAATACTTTAAGGTACCAGTGAAAACGATAAACTTAGTTAAATAAAAATATCACTTTTGATATAATAATAATTCTCATTTTATCTGTTTCAGTGCGTTGATATGAATCACACCACTCTAAGCCACGAAATCATTCCGGATAAAAATGCATGCACCTTAGAAAACTATACATGGGAAAATTCACCAATGAACTTTGATCACGTGGGTAAAGCGTATTTATGTCTCTTCCAAGTGGCAACATTCAAAGGCTGGATCCAAATTATGAACGATGCAATTGACTCTAGGGAGGTAAGTTGATTTCAAATTCATCGACGAGCACTAAATTTGATAAAAAAATGCATTTTAGTCTGCAACTGAATATTACGTTTCAGGTGGGACGTCAGCCGATTCGAGAAACTAACATATACATGTACCTTTACTTTGTGTTCTTCATTATATTCGGTTCATTCTTCACTCTCAATCTGTTTATCGGAGTGATCATCGACAACTTCAACGAACAGAAAAAGAAAGCCGGGGGCAGTCTCGAAATGTTCATGACTGAAGATCAAAAGAAATACTATAACGCCATGAAGAAAATGGGATCTAAAAAGCCTTTGAAAGCGATTCCAAGACCAAGGGTAAAAATGACAATTCATAATTTATCGTATTTCCAAATGCCTAACCGTATTGTACTTTTTTTTCCCTACCTATGCTGATAGCCTTGAGATGGTCTATTTCAGCTTCAAATTAACATGTAGATGAGCTCACGGGACTCAAACCGGAAGTGTTACTAACACTGGCCCTAGCAAGAGCAGTGCTTCGCAGAATCTACCACCAGATCGGAAACGCGACTCACTGAGAAGATCCGGCAAGAAACTCAGTGGGATGTGTCTCAGGGTTCGTGTACTCATGACATCTGTTTGCTTACAGTGGCGACCACAAGCAATCGTGTTCGAGATAGTCACTGACAAGAAGTTTGACATGATTATCATGTTGTTCATTGGATTGAACATGCTCACGATGACATTGGACCACTACCAGCAGTCGGAAACGTTTAGCGCCGTCCTCGACTATCTCAATATGATATTCATAGTGATATTTAGTTCAGAGTGCCTATTGAAAATATTCGCCTTACGTTATCACTATTTTGTTGAACCATGGAATCTTTTCGATTTCGTCGTAGTTATGTTTTCTATTCTTAGTAAGTATATTCATATGACTGACTTTAAATTGCGTTTACAATAAACCATTATTTATATTAAACACTTCCGTTTTTTCTAGGCTTGGTGCTTAGTGACATTATAGAAAAATATTTTGTATCTCCTACGCTACTAAGAGTGGTGCGAGTAGCAAAAGTTGGTCGAGTCCTTCGACTCGTGAAAGGCGCTAAAGGGATACGAACGTTGTTGTTCGCTTTGGCTATGTCGCTGCCGGCTTTGTTCAATATTTGCCTACTCTTGTTCCTGGTCATGTTTATTTTTGCCATATTCGGCATGTCATTCTTCATGCACGTTAAGGACAAAGGTGGTCTGGACGACGTGTATAACTTCAAAACATTCGTGCAGAGTATGATTTTACTGTTCCAGGTGTGTATTTTAAATCTATTATTTACTTAATAATATTGGTATGGAATTTATTTAAGATATCCAGAATACTAATTTTCACTTAATTAAAACTAATTTTCAGATGTCAACGTCTGCCGGTTGGGATGGAGTTTTAGATGGTATTATAAATGAGGAAGAATGTGATCTTCCCGACAACGAACGAGGATCGCCAGGAAACTGTGGCTCTGCAACCATAGGCATAACTTACCTACTATCATACCTTGTCATTTCTTTTCTCATCGTCATCAACATGTACATCGCCGTCATTCTCGAGAATTACTCTCAGGTAATTTAATTTATATTTGATTTAATATTTTAGTTGTTGAATATTAAAAATATCTAAAACAGTAAACAATAAAATTGTAACACATAATATATTCCATTATTTACACCATCAGGCAACAGAAGACGTGCAGGAAGGATTGACAGATGACGACTACGACATGTACTACGAAATCTGGCAGCGGTTCGACCCGGACGGTAGTCAGTACATTAGATACGATCAGCTCTCAGATTTCCTTGACGTCTTGGAACCGCCATTACAAATCCACAAACCTAACAAATACAAAATTATATCGATGGACATACCGATATGTCGCGGCGACATGATGTTCTGCGTCGACATTCTCGACGCACTGACGAAGGATTTCTTCGCTCGAAAAGGGAATCCCATTGAGGAGACGGGTGATTTGGAAGTGGGTCGTCCTGAAGAAGCGGGCTACGAGCCAGTGTCGTCGACGCTGTGGCGGCAGCGCGAGGAGTACTGTGCGCGTCTGATACAGCACGCGTGGCGACGGCATCGGCGTGCACACGAGGAGCCCGAAGTGGGCGGCGGAGCGGAGGGTGCAGCCACGGCCGTGTTGCTGGACGCCGTGACCCCTAACGGTCACCGCGTGGTTCTGCAGGGTGGCGGCGCAGCCCCCCGACCCCCGGAGCCCGCGCCACCACCCGCGTCCGTCTGACCCACACTGGCGCTCGCGCTGCTGCCCGCGCTCGTCGACGACGCGCCGCTGCCGCTGCCCGCACCGCTACCAGAGCTCTTGAGCCCACCCAAGCGCACTTAATTATTTTTTACGCTAGACAATTTGCGTGTACATACGTAGAGTGCGTCGGCGGGCCGCAGGCGAGCGACGCGGCGCGAGCCGGCGCGACTTGCCGCTGCGCGTCCGCGCCGTTTATTTCATGGACGTTGTTCTTTCGCGATTAGAGACGTTGTAAGTGTCGACAGGAGTGTTTTGTGTTCGCGTGGCCGAAGCTTCAGTGACAGTTTGTTTTGCGACTGTCGTCTGCGCGTTTACCGTAATCTGTGTTCCGATTCGTATCCGTTCGTGAGCCTGCGTCGATTCAGAAGACATTCCAGTGAGAGAAGCGTATCGACCGGAGAGAATCGTTTTCGCAAGGTGCCCTTTTTTAATTCAATGAATAGTGATTTATTGTAAGGTATTGGATAACTTGAAAAACTAAAAGCTTATTTTTGTATTTAATAAATATCACTCTACATTATGAAATTCTAAGTCAATGTTAAATTAAAACGTCAATGTACCGAAAAAATTTACAACGATTATGTTTGATATCATTTTTCTTCCCTGAAATGGTGTCGAACGCGATCGTAATTCAAGAAATAAATGGACAGATTACAGCCGTTACATCTGAATACGTGACGGTATATTTCGACTTCGTTTTGAATAAAACCCCGCTGGCCCTGAGTGCGCCTTACAAAGCCACAAACCGATTATCGATGTAGCACTGTATTAATTAAATTAATTCGACTTCGTTTAATATTCACATTAAAAGAATTCCAATGTAATGAAATTGCCTTGACATACTCCAGGCATTAGTGTAATTGTAAGTGTAACGCTTAAAATAAGCATGGGCTGCGCCGATTCATATCAGTTTTGTCCGTTTTAATAATTCCATTTTAAGCTTCTCACTGTACCGATGTGACGTCTGCCTGCGTCTTTTTAAGGGATATCTTGTCACCGATGACAAATTAAAAAATTTAGAAAAATTTTTGCAATGTAGTCTACATTTAAGCTAAATAAATCAGTTATAAAATCGGTACCAGAATTCACTTCCGTCCTATTCAATATGCATCATAGGAATCGAGCCATTTTATGTAACGCGCACTTTCCCAAAAAAACCCTAGATAATGTAATTTTTCCTTTCCCAAAATTACATTAGGCCATCAGGATGGAACGACGCCGATCTTCCCCCCTCCCCAACCGGCGCCGTCCTTTCCTGACGTTCCAAGCGATCCCTCTTGTATGAGGACCGATATTCGCACTATGCTCAATCTACAAGACGCGAAACATTGAAACCTTTTACACACGAGGCTACTTACGTGTGGTTGAGTTATCGGTCCTTCGATAGTAATAGTGAATGTATTCTCTATTTATTCATAAGCAAGCTGAAAAGCAGGCTGGTACTGCTTCAACTTTTGTATTCGTTCATAATGGTAACATATTGACTTTGACATAATTTATGCGAGCAATTTAATTAGTTAAAAACGATCACCATTACGAGCAGTAAGATAAACGATAAAATTGATACACATAAGTTAACGGACGTCCCTTACCGCGTAAGGTAGAGTTTATTAAAAAAATATTCTTTATTTTTTGGCCCACAATCGTATCGACTATTCACACTGGTCATTGCTGAAGACGCCTTATTTGTCAAAGCTTGTGAAGTTTCGAAATAGATGTGTCAGTATTGTATTAATAGCACATCGAACAAAACAATCGTTGAATTTTTGTAATTTATCTTCGGAAGTGGTCAATTTAATCTACTATTGTCTGTAAATATTGAGAGCTTAACGCCGGGTTAATCCCGAACCGCACGTCGCAACACCTAATCTATCCAGTCTGATCTATCGACATCCAACAATTGGGTAGACAGCGATACGAAGAGCTTTAAGCAATAAACGTTAACGTGCCGAGTATCTTGTTTACGCTTCTCATAACACGGATCAGAAGGATTTCAGTGAATAATTTCGTACCTATCTGATTATTATTTTCAATGTCTAAACAAACCTCATACAGATTACCATCAAGTGCATCATGACATTTCATTATGTGTTTCAAGTTTCGAAAGTAAATGTAAATGAGACGCTTATCGTTTTGCACACATTTTGCGAAAACATGATATTTATATAAATGATTTTATAAATAATTAACGGGGAGTGCACAAACGAAATTCTCTTCCCCCTCGGTTGCGCACACCCCGTGTCTCGCCTTTTTGGGCGTCGCGTGACGTCATTCCCTTAATTCTATCGTTTATTTCGTTGTTTTTTTTTTTCATTTGCAACAATAGGCAGTCGTGGAGTGAAACAAATTCTTCTAGACTTAAAATTCGAAATTTATCACATCAGAAGACTGATTCAATAAGACCTATAAAGAAGCGAATCGTTTTTTGAAACCTTTGCATTTTAATGTTTGGATCTTAAAAACTTTTCGTACCTACAGGTAATAAAGTATCTGCTTCGAAATTAAATATGACAATAAAAAACCTTTTTAACGTGGATAATAATTACTTATTGTTGGCGTAACGGAAATTTATTTTTTATTTTGTATTAAAGTTGATTGTAAATTGATGTTTCAGTCTGATACTTCATCAGTAGAATTTGGCTCACTCCGTGCTGCTTTTTGTTTGTGATTTGGACATTACATATATATTTATTATATTATGATTTATGTTGGTCAAACCAAACATTTGTACCTACTATTAGGCATATTTGCACAAAAAAGTTGTGTTTAATTAAGTTTAGACAATAAGTTGTAATATCATTGTACTGTTTAATTTTAACTATACTTATGACAAAAAGTGAGTTCAGTTTGCTGAATGTTAGAAATTTAATTGAGTATTTATTATATATATATATATATATATATTGTTGAAGTTTGTACAAAATAAATTTAAGTAAATGATAAAATATAGAACTTGACTGCTTTAGAATTGGTTTTATTTAACTCGTTTTCACACTTGACGTCTTAGATAACTAGTTTTATGCTGCCGCAAAAGAAACCAGGTCCTATTATATTTTAATGTATCATTTATTCCATTTATTTGCACATCAGAAACGACTCATAAAAAGAAGCAAGTCGCTGTTGCCTAAATCCGCATAGAATATATATCGTGATTATTATCAATTTACGGTTGGCTCTTCACTTATTATGGCCACAAATGACGTCACGCATAAAGTCACAATTTTTAAAAACAAGAACTGACTATCTGTCATTTAAAACTAAGCCACTACTAACCACAATAATACTTCGATAAAAAGTTAGGGTACGGGTATATCACAAACCATAAAGTCTCAAGTGGCGTGGCCTACAGGGATTTGGGTTACCCGATCGGCAAGGGTATCGTATTCCAACCGAGAAGGCTGGACCTGACCCAACGGGGTATGCCGGAACACCAATGACACAGATGTGCCCGGATGACGTGACGCTGCACCGCGGAGACCGGCGCCCTTGGTAATCGACGATCACCTCGACGACAAACCGGTCGGGCGTCCTCACGGTAACGAGTCTGGCCGTAAGGCCGCATTCTGACTTGTCGGTGCGGGAGCGATGCGGGATCTGTAAGGTCTGTACCGAAACGATACCGCGTTGCCTTCAGCTAATGTCAACCGCCGGAAACCCCCACTCTGCCCTGAGTTCTGACCTCGGGCGGAGATCGGACGCCGGTGAGAGAGTGCAAGAGGAGTCGTTTGGTGAGTAGAGCCCTAAAAGTATGCATGGGCCCGCGATCTGCTCCAAAAATCTGCAGACCGCAGAGCCACATTCCCCACCCGCCCCCTAGGTGAGAAAATCTCAGGTATGAAAAATAAAGTATCGTCGTAATAAACAATAAAATTAATGGATATTTATAACATTTCTTTAAGTCCACATTACGATTTAATTTTAAAGAAAACAAATTAAATCAAAGTAAAAAGTTTAATAATGAAAGGAATGCTTTTTTTAAATCGTAAACTCAATTCTACTTCAAAGTTACATAGTCTAGAGTCTCTAGAAAGTCTAGACAATCACGACCTGTCAATATTCCTTATGCCTAATGCCTTATTTCACGACCGAAATAATAGCCGGATAGATAATCGTCAGCGCTAACTACAGAAATACTAAAATCTGCATTTTTTTGTCTACTAAANAATAATGAAAGGAATGCTTTTTTTAAATCGTAAACTCAATTCTACTTCAAAGTTACATAGTCTAGAGTCTCTAGAAAGTCTAGACAATCACGACCTGTCAATATTCCTTATGCCTAATGCCTTATTTCACGACCGAAATAATAGCCGGATAGATAATCGTCAGCGCTAACTACAGAAATACTAAAATCTGCATTTTTTTGTCTACTAAAAGCACGAACCCAATTAAACTTCATTTTTATTAACGATTTTATTTCACTAACAAAAAACCTTTCTACATTTTTTTATTAATTACAAAAATCATATATGTATTGAAGTTCCATAATTTATGAAACTTTACAACATTACTAAATTATCTATCGATAATCGGCAGTCAACTCACTTGTCAATTTTATCACGATCCATTCCCAGCCTGAAAAAACATTAAATGAATCTTCTTTATATCAATTAATTGGGATTTACATGAAGTGTTTATTACGTCGTCGCAGGCCCATGTTCATTTGCAAAATTAACAGTTATAAACAATCTTCACACATGGCTTACTCCCATTCGTTTACAATGTATATCTCTCTACAATGTAATGTGTATCTCCAATTTGGTGTGCAACATAGTTTACTCTATCTCTATCTCTCTCTTACGCTATTTAGTTCAACCACTTTAACTCTTATTTCTCGATTTTTTATGGTTTTTTTTTCGCAGACGGGTGTATCAATGCACGATCCGCCTTGTGTTAAGTTGTTACCGGAGCACATATAAATCAATACCTGAAAATCGACACCCACCTTGAGACATGCGGACTAAGTACCTACAATTTGTTTCAATTTTATAATAAGTATAACGACTAGCTTCCTATCGATTAGGCCAAGACGATCAATTAGTCGTTATTGACTAATTAGCACAGTAATCATATATCAACGCATAGCACCTCGTATCATCTGTGACCACGAAACCTCTAAGGTATTCGAAACGTCCTTAATAATAAAATGAATGAATATTATATTAATAAACCGTATAAATAATTTTAATTGTGTCAACGACTTTAAAAATATTCTACTATTATCCACTTAGCTCCCTACAAATATAAATAGAGTTAAAATGCTTACTACACTTGTACTGATATTAATACTCGAAATACCTACTACACTAAAACTTGCACTATATTGCTATTACTTGATACTTTAAAATAACTTTACTCGTTTATATAAACGATACTCATATAACTTCACTGTACTGTGTATCGATTTTAAACTCACCAAAAAACCACATTCCTTATGCTGTACTGGGTCTTGAAGGCGAAGGCGCCAGAGCGTCCCTGTCACAATTAAAAAAAAATACTAAACCATATTATAATATGAGGATACTGTTGCCGCAGCGTAAATCAGGAAACAATATTCATTACTGGTTCGATCCTGAGAATACCACAGTAAGCGCGCGAGTTCATGTCCATCCTGAGGAATGCGGTAGTGCTGTGACCTAGTTAATTATGGTAATGTCGATAATAACTACCGATTTAGTCAACAGCTGTCAACTTGGTTTAATGTAACTTAGGGTAATTTAGCAATTTATGAAATAAAATAAATGTGATAAGTAATTACTTGTTTATTTCTAATAGAGAAATATATTTTTTTAAATTCCAATTCAATCACTATCAAATGAAAATACAACCGACAGATCAGAGTCAGTCAAGGACAACACTCGACGTCAGACAAATGCGGGGAGGTGGGCGAAGGTGGGGCGAGCTGTCCCCCGCGCGTCGCCTCTGGCCCTGATGGACATGAACTCGCGCACATACAGTACTAGTCGTTTCTATAATTCTTCTATCGTGAACCAGCAATGGAACACATGGTTTACGTTCCATTGCTGCTGAAAGCGTAACGCGTTAGCTGGAGAACGTGGTTTCCGCGTGTCGTTCAATTTCAATTTTTACATTTCGTTGGAAATTAAAATACAGAGCTAATGTATTCGATTACTTAGACACGTTGCTTACATGTTCTAAATTAACTGACATTGTGTGTATAAGCCTCCCAACTCAATTTAAGATTTCTGACTTAATGACACAATTAACTAAGGTTTGGAAGAAAGGGATGCAAGGAGGAGGTAGGAGTTCAAGGTGGTAATTAAAAAAAACATTAAATGATACTATTTTTATTACCGTCTTAGTATTAAGACAAAGTGCCCGTAACACGGACACACATACATGCCCTAGAATACATTCAGGTATTACGACATACGTCTTTAACCATATAAATATCTATACAGCATCTATATGTACAACAGTATGTGTGTCGGATGGATCCTCTTGGTTATAATCTGATTAGCGAGCCTGTTGTTTTGAGGACCTCATCTATCCGGAACGGAGCCTTCACTATGTGAACACTCAACAAGCATACACTTTCTCGATTTTACGAGACATAAAACCGGATATCCTATATTTCAACTTTTCGAATTCTAATTTCAAATTGTGATTTATGCTAATGCGAACAATTTCAGAATGATATATTATGTTTAAAATTTTGATCTATTAATTATAGTCTAGAAGTCGAAATCCAGTAGAGTCCCGAGAAGGAGACGAAAAATATCACGAATAAAAAAGCGATTTTGCAAGCAAGTTGATCCGACCTTGTGCCTCCTGATTTGTTTGTCTATACTAGTTCACGATCAATGATCAAACTTCGCCCATAATCACAGACACCTCAATTTTTATTATATTCTTTTTTTGTATCATAACTATTTCCAAATTGCTTTTACTAATTAACAATAAAGCTCGTCAATAGCTACTAAACAAAAAGGAGAATCGCTTTACAGATAGAAATAGTAATTAACCATTCTATTTTTTTTTATTCATATATTATAGATTAAATTTACGGGCAGTGCTACAGACTCATAAGACTCATATATGTAACTGATTTGTCACTTTTATATTAACAGGGTTGTGGAACGCGAATTATTTTACAAAAGATGACGGATTTTTTTTTAATAAAAATAAAATTTCTGAGAAAGAGTGCGTAAGCCAGATAAAGCTTTATAAAGCTGTATTTATTCTACAAATAGTTAATGTTTAATTTTATTATTATAAATAAAAGATGCTTCTATTTATAGTATGGAGTGTGCTCTTAGCCACCACGGAAACGGAATCTTCACGGAGCTGAAACTTAAGCCGACCACAGAATAAAAACCTCTAATCACAACTAACAATATGAAACAAAAGTTTAAATGTTAAATTTAGAATTCCTCGTCACCCTCGACCTAATATTTTCGCTAATTCATCAGATATGGAAGCTGTTTAGTTTCAAAAAGACGGAGTTACAGTTAAAAACTAAACAAACACCATGTAATATATTTAATATAAAAAAAAATCAGGTCATATCAATGCAATTCAAAAAAAAAAGCACATTAAAATAACTAGAACACGCGAAACTTAAAGTATCGACGTTTAATAATAATCTATACATTACACTGAAACACTAAAGCATCTGTCAAATTACATTACAAATGTTTCGTCCGTGAACAAACGGCAATCATGTGCAGCGATTAGTGTAGTTACTATGATTAAATTACATTTACATCTAAGTATCTTATTCGAAAATGATATCGAGAAATCCACCGAAATTACTCATAATGACGATGACCGCAAGCCTATTACTCTAAATAAAATATTCATATGAAGTTACAGAGTAATTGAATTTTCAAAGATAGAACGTAATGGATGCAATATTGCCAAAAAATAGTTTTCAATGTCGAATCTGTTTTTATTTCGTATTTATTTAAAATTTGGTGCAATTTATAGATTAAAAGTTATCATTATGAGATCTTAGACTATTAAAATCATACTGCACACACATCTCGCGTTAGTAGTGTATCGTGACATTTTTATGTACCTAGTTTTACTATTCCTAGTTGAACGCAATCACTGTATCCTTTTGAATTTCGAAGTCAAAAGGATTTTATTTGGACAAGTGTCATAATGATTTATTATACAAATATTGTATTAATTTTATGATATATATATAAATGTATATATAATTTAATTTTTTAGAAATTGAATTTATGACGTTTTTTACAAAAATTGTCATGGTCGTAAATTGGCAACACGTCCGTGACTGTCGCAGCTTTCATTGACACTATTTTGTGTCCGTACAACGCACGCGAGTTTGCGTGAAGACTGATTTACAAAAAGAACTCTCTTCTAGATATAAATCTCTTCATAAGCTTCTTCGTAAACTCTCTTCGACACTAGCAGTGCTAGTCGTGGGAACAAACATTACAAGTTCTGCTTCTCGAAGCGCCAAAATCTTTAAACTATCATCCGATTGATACTCGTTTCTGAATAATTCAAGATGAGAAGCTCTCTTGTGTAAATCAGCCTTAAGTGCAAACGGGTGCAGGATAGCGACCCGCGACACAGTTTATAGAGAGGCAATGTGTTTACTCTGTGTAGTCCCAGCAGTCCTTCTCGTATCCCTCGTGCACGTGCTCTAATAACACTTTTCGCCGACTGTCACAGTATCTGTAAGCGAGTTTATTGAAACATTACAATGCGTAATAAATATTGACAGTGTAAGCATATCTTATTTTAACTAAAATCGTTTTATTACATTCACGAGTCCTTCATACTTTTCTCAAATTATCGACCGACCTCTAGAGTATGTTAATAGTTTTAGATAAAAAAAAAAATAATACACAAACAAATATACAATTGGGTAAAAAGAAATCATGCTTAAATATGAGTGTAATTTCAAAAGTTGAATGAACTACAATTGTCCATAACTACATTTTAAAAACATACTGTTTAAATATTAATGCCTTAAGGTAAGCTGTGTCGCTATTTGTGCGTTGTGCCTTAACTATCCCCATATCTATAAGCGGCAGTGATCAATATCAATTGAGTGAACCACAAACTCGTCTAGCACCGTTAGTATTTTAAAAAAATAATATATAAGCGCATAAGCCACCCCGGCCACAAATAACTACAAGGGCTCGTATAATCCGTACAAATTCAGATCGTCTAATGAATAATAAATTAAACACTTACCTGTATTTATCTTGAACCTTCTGCTTGATATCGGCAAGGTTCTCGCTAGTTATGTCCCGCTCCAAATATTCCGAGAGTGTTTCGGTCGCCGACTCCAAGTCGCGTTGGTTGTCCTCGAATATGACCGACTGGTTGTTCTTGCGCAAGTAATACGCGAACACGTACGTGTACATCAGCGTTTGTCGGCACTGGCAGAGAATATCTACAGCTTTCTTGAGGAATTGGACCTGTGAAATGAGGGGCGTCTGTCTGTAAGTAACTTTAAATATAACACACTATTTTTTTGTAATAGTTTTTCAAATAGTGTCAGTGCAGAGCATTGAAATGTTAATATATATATGTGTTAATAGTTGGTCTGTCCCATTAAAAGTTATAGTGATGAGACCATAGCTATCTAAATCCATTACTATTGTTTCCTTCGTCAATTTGTTTCAACTTAATCTTGTCACAATTTCTAGCAATTACTCAACCCGATACCTAAAATACTAGACGGTTCACATAGAACTAGCGGCCCTTCGTCAAACTATAAACCCAATATGAGTACAACTCGGAGTACAGACTTCGCGAGATTATGACAAGAAAATCAGTATTGTAGGATTGGTAAGAACGGAACGTATGAAAAGAGTGTGGAACGGAGCGTTAAGATGTGAGTGAGAGAAAACGGAAAGAAAGGGAGAAGAGAATGACAGACAGAATGACAGAAAATTAGAAGATGGCGAAGACGGTTGAAAAATGAGCAAGACGTAATACAAGTGTTAATTATTAATTATTATTATAACAGAAGAATTTGGAACAGTGGAAGTTTTATTTTATGCGCTGCGATCCCTATTCTACAGTATTAACCTCAATCCAGCTCATGTTGTGTTGCTGCATCTCCTCCATCTTCTCTTTAACCGAGGCGTAGAGTTTGGACTCGAAGCGCAGCGACTGCATGTGGTTCATGTACCGGTTGCAGTAGAACAGATAGCGCTGTAGGGCTGCGCGGGATCGCTCCTGTGCGTCCCGGGCTGCTTTCGCTTCGTCCTCGTCGTATCTGTCATTAAGTCACGTGTAATAAGGATAGAAGTTTAAGATTATTTTTAAAGGAGTTTAAGGTCTCAAGTATAGTCACAACGGCTGCCCCACCCTTCAAACCGAAACGCATTACTGCTTCACGGCAGAAATAGGCAGGGCGGTGGTACCTACCCGCGCGGACTCACAAGAGGTCCTACCACCAGTAAAAAATATCTTGGCAACATCACAATTTTCGAAGCCTCTGTATAGTAAGTACTACTTGGAAGTAGTATTTGCCTAAAGGTGAAACGCCTGATGTACTCATTTTTTAACTGTTCTAACGGGACTTTTAATATCAAGTAGAGAATTTCTCAAATAATATCTTAAATATCAAATTCTCGTGTCACAATGTTAGTTACCATACTCCTCTGAAACAGTCTGACCAATTTTTATGAAATTTTATATGCATGTTCAGTAGGTCTGAGAATCGGCTACTGTCTATTTTTCATACCCCTAAGTGAAAAGGGTTGTCCACCACTAACATTTTTTTTTTGGACATTTTTTATATGTTATAATGAGGTATTATGTGGTTGAATGAGGTTTTGTTATTTTTATATTCCCTCATCGTTCACAGCGCTACATGCCTCTTTCACTCATTTACCACATCCTTACACACTTACAATAAGTTTTTTTTTTCTATACTAGAAATTTCCTAGAAATCTTATATATAGCAAAACAACGTTTGCCGGATCAGCTAGTTTTTTTATAAAGACAATTGTTATACAATAAACAGCAAACTAACTGTATAAAGACATCATACCTGTTACAGCTGTACCAGCTGCTGCCGTGGGGCTCCCAAGGTCCAAGACACACCCAGCAGAAGTCGGCCTTGCAATTCTGATTCTTGCACACCATGTGGTTGCAGCCGCCGTCCTTCTCAATGGTGACGTTGCACTTGGGACACTCCTTCGTGTTAGCCGCTATCCAATTTGAGGTCTCCGAATCGTCGTCGCATTTCTATAAATAAATTCCCTCTGTATTTTATTATATACTTTTTTTTTATAGTTACCTTATATTAACACATTTTTTTGTCTTTATAGTTGATCTAGTTTTAAAAACATTTTGATGTGAAATGTTTCAAAACCAAAAAAAATATGTTTAAATAACAAAAAAATATCGATTTTTTCAAAATCCTGGTGATCAGTTTATTAAACTAAATAATAACAATTTTTTAAGTTAAATTAAATAATTTAATAACAATGAATTAAGCTAAATTAAATTTATTAAGCTAAATAATAACAAAATTACTTTATTGCTCGGTCCTTGACATGTGTGCAAATTTTCAAGTTAATCACTCGTTTTGAAGTTGGCGAAAATTACGTAGAAAATTTCCGTTGACACATACAATAAACGCAGGCGAAGCCAATAAATACAACGTACAGAGAAGAAAACAGCACATATAAAATTTGTCTTTATCTATTTAGTTTTATTGCCCTTGAAGTAAGCAGACGAGCATGCATACACCTGACGATGGTGGTGGTTACCGTCGCCCATGGACTTCAGCAATGCCAGACCGGGCCGCTGCCAACCGCTTAATACTGGTGGTAGGGCCTCTTGTGAGTCCGCATGGGTAGGTAACACCGCCCTGTCTATTTCTGCTGTAAAGCAGTAATGCGTTTCGGTTTGAAGGGTGGGGTACCCGTTGTAACTATACTGAGACCTTAGAACTTATATCTTAAGGTGGGTGGCGCATTTACGTTGTAGATGTCTATGGGCTCCAGTAACCACTTAACACCAAGTGGGCTGTGAGCTCGTCCACCCTCCAATAAAAAAAATACTCTCCACAAGCCTCAAACAATTCCTCAGAACACTCCTCACGGAACATACTGTACAAAATACAGAGGAAACCCAAAGTCCTTCCGTAGATTTTCAGGATCACTGACCTTAATCCACTTCCTGAGTAAACAGCACCGGACCGGATCGTGCCAGTTCTCTCCGCAGGCGAAGCAGAACGTGTGTCCGCAGCGGCACGTCACCGGCGCCGCCTCCACGTACGCCACCTTGATCGCGTTGCTGCAGTCCGGGGACGGGCACCAGCGCAGCAGCCGGTTGCACTGTCAATGCGAACATCACGTTACAAAATAATACTCTTTATTGCTCATTGCTTACTAATCGTAGGACCACTTGTGAGTCCGCGCGGATAGGTACCTATAAAATTAGTAAGTTTTGAGATTATACAGTTTTAATGCGAGAAGACGATTTATCTTTAATAATATGGCATCCAACTGTGGGGTTGTTTTATTGCTTAGACGGGCGGACGAGCTCACAGTCCACCTGGTGTTAAATAGTTACTGGAGCCCATAGACATCTACATAGAATTACAGACCTATCGCGATAACTTCCTTGCTTTCCAAGGTGATGGAGCGAATCATAAACATCCAACTTCTTAAGTATCTTGAGGATCGCCAGCTGATCAGTGACCGGCAGTACGGTTTCCGTCATGGTCGCTCAGCTGGCGATCTTCTTGTATACCTCACACATAAATGGGCTGAAGCCTTGGAAAGCAAGGGCGAGGCTCTCGCTGNCGTTATCGAAATCGTAACCAAAAAACCAGCAGCATTCTAATATCATTAATGACATATTATATCATACTGTATTTGATTACCTATAATAAATGGTCATACTCAGTAAAAAAATGTTATTATAATTCGCTTTTTTTACTTTCCAAAAGGGCCTCAAATTCTTGTGTGCCCAAGGGCCCCATCCTAGTTTAAGACGTCCCTGCAGAGCGCTCCCCACGGAACATATTTTACAAAATACAGAGGAAATCAAAGTCCCTCCGTAGATTTTCAGGATCACTGACCTTAATCCACTTCCTCAGTAAACAGCACCGGACCGGATCGTGCCAGTTCTCTCCGCAGGCGAAGCAGAACGTGTGTCCGCAGCGGCACGTCACCGGCGCCGCCTCCACGTACGCCACCTTGATCGCGTTGCTGCAGTCCGGGGACGGGCACCAGCGCAGCAGCCGGTTGCACTGTCGACGCGGACACCACGTTACAAAATAATACTCTTTATTGCTCATACTCTTCAGTACAAAAACAAAAACATCTATCTTTAATAATATGGCATCCAATTGTGGGGTTTTTTCGAAACGAAGTTCCTTATGGGACGATGCGGAGGGGTACCCTAACCGGGAAAAAACGACCGTAACGTAAGATTTTTATTAGTAATGCACACAGTGTACGACTTAAATTTTTTTATCATTCATTGACCACGATCTCAGAGCGTTCGTTTGCGCAATACACTAACTCTTATGCAAACAACCGTGAATGAAGTGTACCACAATAAGTTCGCACGTTACCAAATGGCCGTGGGTTGTTGCGAAACCTCCAGTTTTATTTTCTTTATACCTCGAATAGAACTTTAAATTAATATTTATATAATAAGGAACTTCGTTCCTATCCGGTGTCCCACGACACCACACTTTTTTTTTTATTGGTTAGACGGGTGGACGACCGAAACGCATTACTGCTTCACGGCAGAAATAGACAGGGCGGTGGTATCTACCCGTGTGGACTCACAAGGAGTCCTACCACCAGTAAAACGATAATTTATATAATTTTAAAAATATTATCTCGTAAATTTCTCTTGTCCATTATAATTTGTAATATTATTTTACTGTTGATATTTCCTCATCAACATTACAAGTTATGTACAAAGATGTTAAAGATAAATTGATAAAGAATGTTATTAATTTAACATCTTTGAAAGAAAAATTAATAAGATAAAGAAGTGAGATGGCTTTAAAGGAAACTGAACATGAATACTGTTTTATGCAATGTTTGTTTACGCCATTTGGAGAACGTCTCACTTTATTTCGCGAGAAGATACAGCACAAACCTTTCGATTTTAAAAAGAGACATCATGAGTAATGCAACATAATTCATAAAAAAAGAGATTGTACGTTTACAGATACAACCTCTCCATTTCCGAACGTTTTCAATACACTCTATATTTGATAGTATAAATTAAAATCATCACCTCCACAAAACTATTCGTTATAATGTGTTGATATTTAAGTTTAACACGAGAGTCTCGTACTAGCCGCATCACGGTCGCATCGTCAACAAGTATGTCGCAGGCGTGAGCGGCACAAGCTATTGTTTGACCCTGAAACAAAATCGTAATACTGTAAATTCATACAAGAAAATCCTTCTTGAATCCAGTAGACAAAACAATTCGATACTGAAATACAAAAAAAAATAATTAAAAAATACAAAGGATAAAAAATACGGTAAACAAATGCGTAGGTACTGTTTTCGCTTATCTGGATATTAGGTCAATAAACTACAGAGCGGTAGTAACACAGTTGACACAATCACAAGTCACTGAGAAGCATATCCATGATTACTCACTAAGCCTTCTTCCATTATTTTCGTAGTTAAATATTCACACCAGCATTGCGTGCAAAATCTGTGACCACATTCCAACCCAGTCATAATCTGAAAACGTAAAAGAATTAATATAAATATACTTAAATAATGTCGTATGTTCATCAAATGGAAATTGGAAAATGAACAATAACTATAGGGCTTTTAAGCGCCTTCAAAATTTATGATCTAATCTTCGATAATTTAATAAATTGATAAATACACGTGTGTGGCTTAAAAATGACCCCGTTTGAAACGAGGCCATCATCACTTATTTACCGTACCACGCGTGAGAAGTGTTACATTGCCGAGATGTTACTAAAAGGTGCAAAAAAATAATGAGGTTATGTATTTTCAGCAAGCATTAATTTACGCGGTGTTAAGCCTTTCCAATAGTTTCGTGACTGACTTTGCTAGTGATATCACCAGTATCAGTGAGCGGCAGTAACCACCAAGATTAGGGGCGTGGCCTAGAATAGTAACACTCCAACTCCTCCTTTCCACACCCAGCAGTACCAACTAACATTTTCCACAGAGAATGAGTAGCGGTGTTTCTAGTTTCATAGCAGTCAGTATACTGTGACCGCTCATTGTCACTGTCATTTATTGTAGGTAGGGTGGATCCCTACACACTTATAGGCACTTATAGCCCACACTTATAGGATACCATTCTATGTTTCTACTATGAAGCATAATAATATGGCATCTGACTTTTCAGCTTGAAGGATTGGATAATTAAGATTTCGACATATCTAAAGGTGTCTGGTGGAATTCACATTGTGATGTGTATTCGCCACTATTTAAAACCAGATGGGCAGTGAGCTTGTTTACATTGTTCATATAGTGATTCTATTTCTGCCATAAGTCAACAATGCATTCTGATTTGATTAATAATGTAGCCTTTATACAAAGTTAAACTTCAACCTCATTTCTTCAGATTAGGACATGAAACAAGACATCTATGGGTTCTCGCAACCACTTAACGCTAGCCGTGAATTCATCAACAGATCAATGATAATGAAAAACATTTTCAGGCCCTAAAAATATTTGTCAAACTTACAGAGGTTGGTAAAACTGAGAAACATATTTCACATTCTTCCATACCAGACGTTGATATCCTCCTGGGAAGCTGAAAATAAAAAAACTAGTAAGGAAATATCTAAATAAAAAGTGTAAACTGTACAGCAAAATTAAAAAAACCTTGCATTTGATTACATTGATGAGCTATACGTTTGAATGAACACTGTATTCTGCAGAGCAAAGAGAAATAATAATGGACACATAAAGCTTATAGTGGGTAAATCGCACTGTTACCAGTAAATAAAAAAGTCTACAGTTAGGATTGACGTTAACAGCCAGTTATCTCATAAGAGGATCGGGCCCAGTCCAAAACAAAAAGAAGGATTGGCATTTACAAAAAAATTCCATCCAAGTATTACATTTAAACAGTACTGTACATAATAACAACGGTGATTATTTCATAATTTGTCTTTGTAGTTACAGAAATAAATAAAACATGGAATAATGATGATATAAGAAATTAATTATAAACTACTTTTATGGTTTAACTTGAAACTTTTATTGTCATTATAATATTTCCAAATGACTCCCAACACAATATTCAAATTTGAATAAATAACAGTTTAGTGGTTAGTCATCACAAAAACTGTAAACTATTTAAAATGTTAGAAATAATATAATGACTCTAAAATTGCAAGATTACATCACAAAAGTAAATTTAATTATGTCTATTATTCACATATATTGATGAATATAGCATAAAAAATTAAGATTACATTAGCATATACACATATGGTAATGTAATGAAATGTTTTTAATCATGTTGTAATATAATTACTTTTTTTAGGATAGTCTGCAATACATTTACCTTTGGCCTTTGTATGACAGGTTTCCTGAATGGATTGATAACTCTAGCTTCAGAGAACAACTGATCCTGGTCTCCATCATAAAAACGTTCCATAAGCTTCTCTTTGTCCCATTTGAAATGATTCAGTAAGATCCTTGTTGTTGTTGCTGGAATCTGTTTTGACAGGATTTTTTATGCTTTTAACACACCATAAATCAGAATTTTTAATACTTAATCAGGGGATCTTCAAGGACAGGTATATACTATCTGAGTGAAATAGTTGGGACTTCATAGCTACATATCTCCCTAACATTGTAAAGAAAAAAATTGTATAAACTTTCTTTTTTTACATAATTATATACCACTAAAACAAAACTATTAAACACAAACAAATTATTTACATCCACTAGTTTTTTTTGTAAGTCCTATGAGTAGACAAGCTTCTAAAAACTGAAGATAAGAGATCCCTTAACTTAGTTAGTTTAGTCCCTACAGTTAATTTACAGTGTTACAAATTTCCTCAATGATCACTTTCACTTTTGTTACAGTCAATTAAGAGCCAATTTCAAAGATTTTTAAATGAAATATTGCAGTTTCATATCAATGTATTTTATTTAGATTTAGTAAAAATTTGTTACTGGCTATTGTTAACTTAGGTTGATATATATTAGTATAGTTTTAGTGCAAAATGTTAAATTTTACACAAATTAACATTTTTCTTAGTTTCATATAAACATAATTAGTATGTTACTGAGAGCCTTATCATTTTTTAATTTCAATTTTGTTGTCAGAAATGCAATTTATATTTAATAGAGATTGATTGTTACTAGTTCAAAAAATGCTTTTTACTATTTTAAATTTTAAATTTAAATAAAACTGACTCTCGCTTTAGGTTAAAAAATATCATTGAACTATGTAATCCATTAATATAAAAAATGACAGATTAAATTGCCTTAAAGATCTGTTGAGGGGCTAAAGTGGTCCAATGGAAGATTAGTCTAACAAGTACTCCATCTCAACCTGAGAACTACAAGTAGTAAAGGTAGAGCAATCAATGTTACACACACTCATGACATGATTGTGTTATGTGTGCTAAGCCTGCTTGGAGATAGGTCAAATAGCCACTTATGTGCTTCTCAAATGGGAGTGGCTATGCTTCAGACCCTGGGTCCCCAGGCCCCACAGCTAGCTTCCTGGAGAACCTAGTCTGGTGCTTGTAGGATCACTCTCACTCTATTGAATAATAATGACATCAGATTGCAGGGAACCACACGTTTATTGCTTTTGGGGTAATGTTTTTTCATAATTGTTAGTAAGTTGTTTCCAAAGCTGAAATTGTAATGATATACTACTTCAGCACAAACACAAAACCATACCCATAATTTCTACAGTTCATTTAATGAATATTTAGTTAAACAGATTTTTTCCTTAATGCAAAAAAGCATAGGTACATGTTAACATATTAATATCTCCAAATCAATATTAATCAACAATAAGCACTTTTCTAGGCCTTAATATTATCATAGTACATAATAATGCAATTGACAATGAAAACTATTAATTATATATGCAAATGAAATTGTTATTAGAATCTTACTGTAGCTTTTTATTATAAGAAAGAATGTATAACATTGAATAAGAATGTATAACATTCTTTCTTATTCTGTTCTGCATACATATTTGATGAATTAAAATTAGTTATATGAAATCTACTTGTATTTGCTTAATATTTATTTAAGCACCACTCTTTTTGTTCTATTACATTAGTCAGCATTACAAAGTTATTAGTCATCAATTTACAGTTTTATATGTTCTAAAAAATACCAATGACTTTTTACCTTTCATAAAATGCTTTATGGCTCATAAGATTATATTAGGCCAAATAATGATTTCCTGTGATGATTTANGTTATATGAAATCTACTTGTATTTGCTTAATATTTATTTAAGCACCACTCTTTTTGTTCTATTACATTAGTCAGCATTACAAAGTTATTAGTCATCAATTTACAGTTTTATATGTTCTAAAAAATACCAATGACTTTTTACCTTTCATAAAATGCTTTATGGCTCATAAGATTATATTAGGCCAAATAATGATTTCCTGTGATGATTTAATTCTTAGAAACTGTGTTTGCTAATAATAAAATCAAACCATAAACAATACCTACAGTCAAAAATATCATGTCAGATCAATTGCGACTAAATTAGTCCACAACACAAAAGGTTCTATCAAAGTGTACCATTGTACGAGTAACCTCATTCAATTAGTCCATTGTTTACGCTCACAACTAACATACTGACCTCGACGACAGTGTTCACTTCTTTAATGCAGTCAACCATATGTTGGACAATCTCCTCTGTAGACAAAACCTCGTAAGGATACTCCTCAAGCTCAGTTTGTCTTTCCCTTGTACTATGAGTTTCAACGTCCATTGCAAAGTCGACATCGTCTCCACTAGACTCATTACCCGAGTCCACATCGTCTTTCGTGTCATCTTCCGAATCCATCGTTGCAAACTTTAACTAAATTTGTATGATTTATAGTGAATGCACAACCAGAAATCTTATTGTGATGAAATAAATACACCTTAGATTTAGGAAAGGTCAACAATGAAGAAAATAGTTCACCCGCGGGCTGCCAAAACCTCTGACGTAAGGACAGTGTTCTAACATCTAAAAATTTAAATCATAGATAAATAATGTTCTTCTTTTTTTTAGTATGGCAATTAGCTTCTTGCATGACTGTTGTTGGCAGAGTCGAGATAATAAAAATCCTGATTTATTAAACTCATACATACATACTTATTGTATCTTAAGAAAAATCATATTATGGAACGAAATGAGATGAAGTTAATTTATTTAAGATTGTAATCAATTGGGTTGAAATGAAATGAGATGAGATGGAATAAAATAAACGCACAGTAAAATGATTGTTCTCTGATACTTCAGTGGACTTTCTAGACGAGTCTGTGAAGCCATTCCCAGCGACTTTGTTTCATTTTCTCACATTATGTACTTTTACAGATGCTCAACAGTTAAGAAGCCACCATTAATACGCATTGATGTCGACACATGATGACAAAGTTAAAGTGGAACCTTACAACTCAACCCATTATACGAGACTTCTTATCGAACCGTTCGTTCCGATATCGAGTCGAAGGAACGTGCTCTCGCCCTCGTCACGTACCTCAGTTTGTAGGTATACCCCGGTCTCCGGAGACCTATCTAGCGCTCTTCGCCGATGACACGGCTATCTACTACTCGTGTAGCAAGAAGTCATTATTCGTTCCGGAAGTGCCGCATCGACATCAACCCCACGAAAAGCACAGCGGTGCTCTTCAAAAGGGGTCGCCCTCCGAATACCACTTCGAGCAGCCCACTCCCTAATAGGCGCGTTAACACCTCCACCGTTAGCCCCATCACTCTTTTTGGCCAGTCCATACCGTGGGCCTCGAAGGTCAAATATCTAGGCGTCACCCTCGACAGAGGTATAACATTCCGTCCCCATATCCAAACGGTACACGACCGTGCCGCCTTCATTTTTTTATTTTTTATTACTTAGATGGGTGGACGAGCTCAGAGCCCACCTGGTGTTAAGTGGTTACTGGAGCCCATAGACGTCTACAACGTAAATGCGCCACCCACCATGAGATATAAGTTCTAAGGTCTCAGTATAGTTACAACGGCTACCCCACCCTTCGAACCGAAACGCATTACTGCTTCACGGCGGAAATAGGCGGGGTGGTGGTACCTACCCGTGCGGACTCCCAGGAGGTCCTACCACCAGTGATTACGCAAATTATAATTTTGCGGGTTTGATTTTTATTACACGATGTTATTCCTTCACCGTGGAAGTCAATCGTGAACATCATATTAGGACATCTCTACCCTATGCTTTGCAAGCGAAACAAATTGTCCTTCCGTAATAAGGTGACACTCTACAAAACTTGCATACGCCCCGTCATGACGTATGCAAGCGTAATGTTCGCTCACGCGGCCCGCACTAACTTGAAACCCCTTCAGGTTATTCAATCCCGATTTTACAGGATAGCCGTCGGAGCACCATGGTTCCTAAGGAACGTGNTAGGACATCTCTACCCTATGCTTTGCAAGCGAAACAAATTGTCCTTCCGTAATAAGGTGACACTCTACAAAACTTGCATACGCCCCGTCATGACGTATGCAAGCGTAATGTTCGCTCACGCGGCCCGCACTAACTTGAAACCCCTTCAGGTTATTCAATCCCGATTTTACAGGATAGCCGTCGGAGCACCATGGTTCCTGAGGAACGTGGATCTCCATGATGACCTGGAACTTGGCTTAGTCAGTAACTACAGCCGGCATCATTGCGCCACTTTAAGAAGGCGGCACATGAGAAACCTCTTGTCGTAGCCGCTAGAAATTACATACCATCGGGTATACCGAACCTGTAGACCGAATGGTAAGCAGTCGACGCCAAAACACGTCATTACGGATCCTCCCGATCCTTTAACGGTGCTTTTAGGCACCACAAGCACCGGTCACCGTCCTCATAGAACCCGTCACTTGCGACGAAGGGCTCGACGAGCGAATTCACCCATAGACACATCCCACTGAGTTTCTCGCTGGATCTTCTCAATGGGTCGTGTTTCCGATCCAGTGGTAGATTTTGCGAAACACTGCTCTTGCTAGGGCCAGTGTTAGCAACACTCTGGTTTGAGCCCCGTGACCTCACCAACACTTTAGGGTGAAGCTAATATAGACTCTCATGGCTTTCAGCATAGGTAGGAAAAAAAAACAGCTCATGTCTCAAGGTGGGGGGTGGCATTTACTGTCTATGGGCTCTGATAACCATTTAAACACCAGGTGGGCTGTGAGCTCGTCCACCCATCTAAGCAATAAAAAATCAAAAATTAAATTGACCAAGAAGAATAAGATAGTTTTATTGAATTTTTTAATGAATCTATTGTTTAAATGTATATATTTTAATAAAATATTCACAATCCTAGTATTTGAAATTGTGCATGAAAAATATTGTTCTGTCTAGGACCAAAATGTTTGTTAAATAGTTTTGTTGATTTGTTCCTTATCCACAATCAAAATAAATTGACAATATTTATGGTGATAATGATATAGATATAGGTGAATAATAATCTTAACTCATAAGACATTTTATTAGAACATTAAAATAGATGCTACTTTTTCAATTACAAAAATATACATTTTTACATCTATAATTTTGACCAATCAATCTAGATTAAGATTTTTTTATAAATTATCCAATTCATTTTGTATCTGTTCAAAATTAATAAACATGGAATATAACTCAGAATGTGTCAATTCTATTTCAGTATGGCCTTTATGATTGGTTAGTGACAAATATGCTTTAGGGATTTTTGTTTTTTTGCAATAATCAGAACTCAGCTCTGCATTTAATTTCCATGTGAAATTTAAGTCATCCTGTGACATACCAGAAGTTTCTTTACTGAATTGATCAAGTATTGGCCTCGTTTCGGAAGACCATACTTTAACAATAACATCGGCCTTTTCATCACACAATCCAAGACTTTTTAAATCAGTTCTTAATGTTAGTGGTACAAAAATGAATTTCAACATTTTTTTTAATAAATATTTCAATGTTTTAATACTCATTACTAAGCTTTCTTCGTCGACTTTAAACAATTTTGTGAGCTTTTCTTGTTCTTCTTGTGAAAATACTTCATTATTATTCATTTTTAGTTTAACTAGGATGCGATTTAAAAATTGCTCAAAACGTGACAACTCGAGTAGATTGATGACATGAATTCCTTTACTTAACCTGAAAAAAGGGTTCTTATTCAAAATAGGAAAACAACAAGTAATTATTCAATAATAACAATACACAAGTCTATGAACAATACCCCGGAGTGATTCTTATCCAGTTCGCAGACATCTTTCCTTCCAAATGTACTGTATCCAAGCGATCCTGAGTATCTATGTAATTTCATAGAATAGTTAAAATAATTTAATATATTTCAGAATAGTTTATTTTTCTCATTACCTACATACTACTAAACTTGCTTTTGCTTTCAGAAAAAAAATCGCATAGACGCTTAACACACCTGACAGCTGACACCTGAATTTTATGAAAAATGATAATATGGAGTGAAATGAAATGAAAATGATTAACTTGGGACATTGATCAACTGGGATGAAATCAAATGAAATGAGATGATATGGGATGAAACATAATATAAGAAAAATGATGGTCGTTTACTGACATTTTTTAGTGGACTTTTTGGAGGAGGTTTTATTAACCGTTTAATATCTGTGAAAGTGCACAAATGTGGGAAAATGAAACAAAGCCGCTGGAAGGAAAATTCTCGGGATTCTCCAAAAATCCACTGAAAAAATCTTAGTAAATGACAACCATTTTACTGAGATTATATTTCATCCCATATCATCTCATCTCATTTCATTTCATTTCATCCCAGTTGATTAATGTCTCAAATTAATCATCTTCATTTCATTTCACTCTATATTATCATTTTTCATAAAATTAAGAATATAATTAAATGAAAATAAGACATGACTTAAAGGTCTTAGCTACTAGGTCATAAAATAACTTAAAAAATATTCTGAAATGTGAATAGGCTAATTTCACCACAAATCCAAAATTGTGAGAATGGCAAATAAAGTAGAAAGAGTGCCGGAAAGTATTAACTTTCCAGCCGAAGAGGACAAAATCTTAGAATTTTGGAAAAAAATCGATGCTTTCCAGACTTGTTTAAAACAATCCAAAAGCAGACCAAAGTAAGTCAATACTTTCATATTAGCGCATATTGAAAGAAAATTAATAGCATTCTTATTAAGATAACTGCTTTATATGCGTTATCCTAAAAGTACATTAAAATTTCAAAGTGTGTCGTGGTATTGTAAAAGTTTTATTTAACAGCTGGTTCGTAAAACTATAATAAAACGTTACTTTTTTCATAACCTTTCGTCACATTATTATTTACACACAGAAACCCACAACGGTTCGATTTGTTTTATATTTTCATAACTGAATGGAGGCCATTTAAATAATCTATTCATTTGCCTAACCTCACCTCTCCGTACGGCCTACCACCACCCTGCCTATTTCTGCCGTGAAGAAGGGTGGGGCAGCCGTTGTAACTATACTTGAGACCTTAGAACTTATATCTTAAGGTGGGTGGCGCATTTACGTTGTAGATGTCTATGGGCTCCAGTAACCACTTAACACCAGGTGGGCTGTGAGCTCGTCCACCCATCTAAGCAATAAAAAAAACTAACCCGCTAAATTAATTTGCGTAATAACTGGTGGTAGGACATTTTGTGAGTCCGCACGGGTAGGTACCACCACCCTGCCTATTTCTGCTGTGAAGCAGTAATGCATTTCGATGGAAGGGTGGGGCAGCCGTTGTAACTATACTTGAGACCTTAGAACTTATATCTCACGGTGGGGGGCGCATTTACGTTGTAGATGTCTATGGGGTCCAGTTACCACTTAACACCAGGTGGGCTGTGAGCTTGAATACTTACTAACCTAAATTTCTTTACATTTGAGGAATTTGACTTGGTTAGTGGTTAAATGACCACATTATATTACTAGCTTGGGAAGTGAACATTGTCATAAATATAGTTACTTATAGGTACTCATTTTATGATGGACCACCATTTGCAACAGGACTGCCTCATTATGGTCACATACTTGCAGGCACCATAAAGGATGTGGTCACGAGATATGCTCATCAACAGGTAAAAAAATTATTGTTTAAATTATTTATTTTTACATTAGTTTAATTTTAAAGGTATACATATAAACTTGTATTTAAAATCTAGCAAGTTTACATCTTTTTGAAAATTAAAATGAGAATCAACTATCTTAACTTACTTATTCTAGGGCTATCATGTAGAAAGAAGATTTGGTTGGGATTGTCATGGACTTCCTGTAGAATTTGAGATTGACAAAACTTTGGGCATTAAAGGTCCAGAAGATGTACATAAATTGGGTATTGACAAATACAATGCAGAATGCCGAAAAATTGTGATGAAGTATGCTGCTGACTGGGAGAATATTATCACTCGTATGGGTCGATGGATTGGTAAATAATACTTAGATTTCTTTGTGAATTATAAATTTATTATATGGTTTAATCACAATATCATTTTGCAGACTTTAAAAATGATTATAAAACTTTATACCCATGGTTTATGGAATCCATTTGGTGGGTTTTCAAGGAACTGTACAACAAAGGCTTGGTGTATCAAGGAGTGAAAGTGATGCCTTATTCTACGGCATGTTCAACTCCATTATCTAACTTTGAATCTGGACAGAACTATAAAGAAGTTGTAGATCCAGCTGTTGTTGTTTCGTTTCCTACTGATAAAGGATATTCCTTACTTGCTTGGACTACCACACCTTGGACATTGCCTAGTAATTTAGCTCTTTGTGTAAATCCCAAATTGATATATATCAAGATTCAAGAAAATAAAACTGGCACATGTTATGTCATTCAAGAGTCTAGGTTTCCCGTTATCTTCAAAAACACTACAGACTTCATGATTCTTGAGAAATTTCCTGGTGAAAAACTAAAGGGCATTAAATACACCCCTGTATTTGATTACTTTGTGGGACAGTGTCCTACTGCTTACCAAGTCTTGACTGATGGTTATGTCACTGATGATTCTGGTACAGGGGTTGTACATCAAGCCCCATATTTTGGAGAAGATGATTTCCGGGTATGTCTAGCTGCAGGACTAATCACCAAAGACCAGGAAATTATTTGTCCTGTTGATTCCAGTGGTCGATTTACAGAGCCTGTCAAAGATTTTTTAGGTCAACATGTGAAAGATGCAGATAAAAACATCATTGCCAATTTAAAAGCCCGCAACCGTTTAGTGCAGCTTGGACAAGTAAAGCATAGCTACCCATTTTGCTGGAGATCAGAAACACCTCTGATTTATAAAGCTGTGCCTTCATGGTTTGTTAGGGTGGAGCAAATGAGCCTNAGTGGTCGATTTACAGAGCCTGTCAAAGATTTTTTAGGTCAACATGTGAAAGATGCAGATAAAAACATCATTGCCAATTTAAAAGCCCGCAACCGTTTAGTGCAGCTTGGACAAGTAAAGCATAGCTACCCATTTTGCTGGAGATCAGAAACACCTCTGATTTATAAAGCTGTGCCTTCATGGTTTGTTAGGGTGGAGCAAATGAGCCTTGACTTGTTAAAATCAAGCGAAGCAACAAATTGGGTTCCAGAATATGTAAAGGAAAAGCGGTTCGGAAATTGGTTGAAAGAAGCTAGAGATTGGGCTATTAGTCGCAATAGATATTGGGGTACACCAATTCCTTTGTGGATTTCTACTGATAAACAAGAAGTGGTTTGTATTGGAAGTATTGCAGAGTTGCAGGCTTTAACAGGAAAAGAAATTACTGATCTACACAGAGAAAGCATTGATCACTTGGAAATACCTTCAATGAGGCCTGGACAACCTCCCCTGAGGAGAGTATCTGAAGTTTTTGATTGTTGGTTTGAGTCTGGTTCAATGCCTTACGCGCAATGTCATTATCCATTTGAGAATAAAAAGGAATTTGAAGAAATATTCCCTGCTAATTTTATTGCTGAAGGTATAGATCAAACAAGGGGCTGGTTTTATACTTTAATAGTGTTGTCAACAGCTTTATTCAAGAAGCCACCATTCAAAAACTTGATTGCAAATGGTTTGGTTTTAGCATCTGATGGACAAAAAATGTCGAAGCGAAAGAAAAATTATCCTGATCCACTTGAAGTAGTAATAAAATATGGTGCTGATGCATTACGTTTGTATTTAATCAATTCACCTGTAGTGAAAGCTGAAAATCTTAGATTTAAAGAGGAGGGTGTCAGAGATATAGTAAAAGATGTGTTTTTGCCATGGTATAATGCTTTTAGATTTTTGATGCAAAATGTTGAAAGATTAGTTCAAGAAGATCATGTTGATTACCGATTCAATGAGAAGGCAATTCGCGAAAATGTTATGGATAAATGGATAACCTCATTTACCCAGTCTTTGATACAATTTGTGAAGAAAGAGATGGCTGCTTATAGATTGTACACAGTTGTGCCACGTCTAACCAAGTTTATCGATCATCTCACAAACTGGTATGTGAGAATGAATAGAAAAAGACTAAAGGGCGACAATGGTGTACAAGATTGCCAAGTAGCTCTCGACACATTGTTTGGGGTCTTGTTTGACATGGTCAGAGTTATGGCACCATTTACNATACAATTTGTGAAGAAAGAGATGGCTGCTTATAGATTGTACACAGTTGTGCCACGTCTAACCAAGTTTATCGATCATCTCACAAACTGGTATGTGAGAATGAATAGAAAAAGACTAAAGGGCGACAATGGTGTACAAGATTGCCAAGTAGCTCTCGACACATTGTTTGGGGTCTTGTTTGACATGGTCAGAGTTATGGCACCATTTACACCTTTCCTCACTGAATTTATGTATAAAACTTTACGAAAATTACTGCCTGGAGATTCGCTTGATAGTGTACATTTTAACATGATACCTGATCCGAGAATCGAACTAGTCGACACTAATATTGAAAGAGCAGTCCAGAGAATGCAGTCTGTTATAGAATTGGGAAGAGTTTTGAGAGATAGAAAAACGATTCCTATAAAATATCCATTGCCCGAAATGATAGTTATTCACCGAGATACGACTTACTTAGATGATGTGAAATCTTTAGAAAAATATGTTCTTGAAGAGATGAACGTAAAAAAATTGGAATTGACAAGCGACAAAGAAAAATATGGTATTACTCTAAGAGCCGAGCCAGATCACAAGATACTAGGGGCGCGTTTGAAAGGAGACTTCAAAGCTGTCACGCAGGCATTAAAATCACTCGATAATAATCAGTGTGAAAAGATTATAACTAATGGTTTTGTAGATCTTGTTGGTCAAAAGATTGATGTGTCTGAAATTAGACTTATTTTCCAAGCTACAGGCAGTGACCAGTATGAAGCGCACAGCGACAATGATGTACTTATTTTATTAAATGTAACCCCCGATCAGGACATGCTTGATGAAGGTTTCTCTAGAGAAATTATTAACAGAGTACAGAAACTAAGGAAGAAAGCACATCTTGTACCAACGGACGAGGTAGATGTGTATTTTTCAGTGGCCAAAACGAGTGATATTCTGCGCATTATAAACTTACATCGCGAATTTATAGAAAGTACAGTGCGAGCGCCCCTCATACCCATCGAACAGTTGTCACCAACGAAACCGCTCATTGTCGAAGAGGCCCAAGAATTAAAGGGCTCCCAACTAAAGTTAGTGATAACGTGGAGGAAAGATGTGGAATTACCTTCAAATCAATGGGCGAATATAGTACTACAAGGTTTGACTCCTAGATTTGGCGTCACTAGCAACCAAGCAAGTATTATTTTAAAAGATAACGAGAATAAATTTATATCTTTGAATAAACTCTATGACGAAGTGAACGTTTTGTTCGGTCTTTACGGCTTAAAATATACATTGTGGTGCGATGGTTCGGAGGTAAAAGATACGAACAATTTAAATACGAAAACAATAATTGCTTCAGCCGCAGCGCCCACTCCGCACGATTCAAAAACGGTTCCAGCTTGTAAGTTCGTTAATGTTGCTAATGGTACCAAATCATTTACGTTATTTTTAGAAAATCCACTGGGAAAAGAAACTTTGGATCGTGCAAATGCCGTAAAATTTGTTACTCAATACTTAGAAATTAATCCTGTAGATGTAGAGAAGCAAATTTTCAAATAATAAGCGGATTTCATTAAATTATGCTAAGTATGTTTATTTATTTATGTGAAACAGTTTTATTGCGCAAAAAGCCTAAACCTGCTTCTTATTGGGTACTCTAATAAATAAATAAAAAATTACAATAGTTTTATTCAGAACTATTCGTGTATAGTTGTGATCTCCTATAGGTGTATACCATATATACTGTAGAACACTTGGTGTACCGCCGCTATCGAGTGGGTAGTTTTGGATATTACGTCGATTTATAAATACCCTTTCTATTATCGGATTCTTTATGTTAGATGTAGGTATCCCTATATTATTAAAATCATAATTTAATTCCAATAAAATATATTGAAAAGAAATAAAACAAATATACTATGAGTTGAAATTTATTGAAATATATGTAAAATAATATAGGCACGATATAATAATCTGGACATCGTTCTTGACTCATTTTTAACAGGTGCTTAATATAAATAGAGAAGTTTAGAATTTAGATTAATCGTAAATTTATTACGGCCTGTGTGTATTTTACCTTGTATGGCTTACGTCAGGATTTGCATGGTGCTAATTTACAACAATTTGATTAATACTATTTGTTCAAATAAATTTAAAATTAATGTAATGAATGTAAAATCGGAACTTACAAATACATCACAGTTGCACAAAGAAATCGATATTTGAACAAATGCACGGAAACAGAATGAAATATGAAATTAATTACATTTAAACATAACAATTAAACTACTTAATAATCTAAAGAAGCTACAATACTGTGGGACTGTTAATATTATGGATACATTGCACAGTGCAAGATAATTAAAACAATAATAAAATTAAAAAATAAGTGCCATTACGTTAGACAAAAAAATTGTGATTTCAAACGTGAAAGTTGTGCGAATTTTATTCGTAAAGTCTAAACCATGGTAACTCTTCATGTGTGCTGCTACACAGAACATACTTAAGGCCTTCTACACGACATGAGCGTCTAATCAATTTACATGTTAGTCGATTCTGTGTGAAGGTCCTAAGTCACGATAATAACGTATAAACTTTGGTAAATAAACGTTTATTAACCTAAATCGTCATTATAAATAATTAAACAAGAATACATAACGAAACCAATGTCTTTTAGAACAACTCAGAAGGTTTCTACAGCAATTTTACGATTATGAAGAAAGTGCATTGCTTTTTTGGAAGAAAAATGTAGTTAAATTCGCATTATAAATATTGCAGCCTTCTGAATTCATTTGTAATACTGTTACAAAAGAAGAAAAAAAACGAATATAAAAAAACGTACCCTATTTATTGCTTCGTTTTAAAGAAATGCTTTCGCAAATTAATATTGCTTCTCAAAAATAACATAACCAAGTAATCTCGATTAAAATCACATTAGTTACAGATAAATAGGGAATATTATATTCTTACTACTAAAGAATGTGCTGACACGTTTTAGTATGAGAAAACGTGTTAACAATGGGATGGCATTGGGTGGATATATGATTATCGCACACGATTAATATAGATTATGAATAAATATTAAATAGAATTTAAACATTGTCACATCGACCCAACGTATATATTTAACTATTAATGTATTCGATAAATTATTATTATGCGTCAACAAGTTATATGCACTCATTCAATAAGCTAATTACGTCGAGAGACCTAACACATTAGGAAAAAGGCTTCGACCTAATCGATGGTCGGTTTCATAAGTTAGTGATTGTAAATTATTGCACTTTACATTCATTTAAAAACCACATCGTACAATTTGCTACAGCATCATACACGAGCGTAGTTGCACATCCTTAGGCCGCTAATGCAGCACCGAAACATTTCTACCGACAGCGAGAGCGAACAAATAAATTATATATTCATCTAAGACAAGTTTATCGAGATAATTTAGTGAAAATTTGACACTAGAAATAACTAAAGATCCATTAACATTTTAAATACAAATTATAAGATACAACATCGGCTACTCAGTGACTAGTCTAACGGCGTATAATGATATCATATACTCGTAACATTTGAATAGCAACAACGATAAATACATCACAATGGGGGAGGGGAGGGGGTAAGGCGAGACGAGCCGCGGGCCGAGGCGCGTTCCGCCACTCGTCCATCTGCAGATCGAATTCACATCATTAGACAAGTTTCTCCGGTCACCGTCCTCGCCGAACCCGTCGTTTGCGACGAAGGGCTCGGCGAGTAAATTAACGCATATAGACACAGCCCACTAAGTTTCTCGCCGGATCTTCTCAGTGGATCGCGTTTGCGATCCGGTGGTAGATTCCGCGAAGCACTGCTCTTGCTAGGGCCAGTGTTAGCACCACTCTGATTTGAGCCCCGTGAGCTCACCTACAGGTTAGGGTGAAGCTGATATAGCCTCTCAAGGCTATCTGCATAGGAAGGATAAAAAAAAACAAGGCATTTTTTTTAAGAATCAATTATTAGGCCTTATTATTAGGTGTCGTAAATTTAGATGCAGATCACAATTAGTTCTCCAAATGAAATAAGCAACTCACAGGGACTAGTAGTGCGGGTGGTGCACAGGCGTGTCGCGCTCCGGCAACTTGCGCACCTTCATGGTGCCGTCCGCGCCGCACGAGAACAAACGACCCGCATTGTCTGTAAGCAACGACAATTTTTATAAAATTTTATAAAACTGTTTTAAATCGAGAATCTATAATATACGTGAAGCAAAAACTTTGTCCCTTTTTCACGAAAATTGCGCGGACGGAGAAGTATGAGATTTCTCCCACTTATAAAGAATTTAAAGAAGGAGTGCAGAAGGCTAATTTAGTTTTTAAATCATGTTTTAAGAATATATTAAATTAATAAAAAAGAAACACTACACACACTATCATGTATTTGAAAAACACGCGCATGCATACTATTTGTTTACTGTCAACCTTTTGTTATTTCTTAAAGTCTGTGGTCAAATTGAGACTACGTTAATATTGTTTATCTTTAATATTATTTGTCTATACTGTAGTCTTGGCGAAATCTGTGATTATAGAAGTATAATAGTCTTTGACAATAGAACCGTAATAATGTCCAAACTTTTAATTTAAATTAATTATATGTAGATGAATTTCGACTGCTGCGGGGCCACTAGTATTATGAAAAACGTTCACTTATGCGTATGTTACGCACAAATCTATGTATATGTGGACAGTAATTGATAAAGCGTTATTGGATGGAAAATTAATATCAACCATAAAGAATCACCGAAATTGTGATGTCCGACACTAATACAGTCAAAACAGTTTACTGCGACATCGGTTAGAACAACATGCCGGTTATAATAACATTTTTTTTTTTTTTTTATTGCTTAGATGATTGGACGAGCTCACAGCCCACCTGGTGTTAAGTGGTTACTGGAGCCCATAGACATCTACAACGTAAATGCGCCACCCACCTTGAGATATAAGTTCTAAGGTCTCAATTATAGTTACAACGGCTGCCCCACCCTTCAAACCGAAACGCATTACTGCTTCACGGCAGAAATAGGCAGGGTGGTGGTACTTACCCGTGCGGACTCACAAGAGGTCCTACCACCAGTAATTACGCAAATTATAATTTTGCGGGTTTCATTTTATTACACGATGTTATTCCTTCACCGTGGAAGTCAATCGTGAACATTTGTTGAGTACGTATTTCATTAGAAAAATTGGTACCCGCCTGCGGGATTCGAACACCGGTGCATCGCTCAACACGAATGCACCGGACGTCTTATCCGTTAGGCCACGACGGCTTCATAGAACAAAGGTCCCGGCTGAACGCTATATGACCGCCTTATTAAAAACATTGCTTTATACGACATTGCTTATAACGACATACCTCATAAAACGACCACATTTAACTAATATTTCGGAGAATTAGATGTGTTAGAACTATCGGCTAAGCTGTATTGTAAACAATTTGAATAGGTATCCACATTTGTCTTCAATGGCTATTAAAATCAGGAAAGAAAACAATAGGATTTAGTTTAGTGTAGGGTCTTTTCTAATGCTTAGAAACAAAACACGTGCATGCAGTAGAGTCAAGCCCGCTTCTTCATATCTCTTCAGTTTGTTACGTATCTATACACAAGACGCACCAAAACTTTGTGGAGTTATTCGAGAAACTTTAAAAATGTCGCAAAGAAAAAGAAAACAAATTAATATTGAAGAAAAATCGCGTATTATATCTAAGCTAGAGAGCGGAATTTTAAACAAAGACTTAGCAAAGGAATATTGTGTATCATACTCGACAATTTCAACCATTTGGAAAGAGCGATGACGATACGTTAATTAAAATCCAACGTAAATTATAAAATATCTATGCACAACAGAAGTGTTCCAAACAGACCAAAATTACAGATTTTATGCTCACAGAAAAATAATATGCATTGTACCTATGTATAATAAACAAAATGTATATAGTTGAATAAATATATTTTTCCAATAATTCCCTATCGATTTATTTGTACTTGCCACGATACACATTAAACATCACCGGTTGTTACGACTATCGGTTTTTACGACTGAATATGAGCAGTCCCTTCGATGTCGTTATAACAGATTTTGACTGTATGTAAAAATCCATGAGACTTTTTTACACCGACACACACGATTTCGATGTATCGATTACGACAAATCGTAAAAAAAATCGATAAAATCAAAGGTGTGCGATAGAATTGAAAAGCGGTAGGCACGAGTGTGCGTATCATATACGTACAGCGACATCGATCACGAGCCTCAAATCAAGCCCGCACTATACCGAAAGTTGTGCGTGAAAGTTTTTTATTTTTCTGATTTTTTTTTGTCTAACCCGCTGACTGCCATGTAGGTCACCGGTGCCCTACGTAGCGCACTGAAGTAAATATATCGATATCTGTCTAAGTGTCTGTATTGCCTAACTTTGACTTCTTTTGTTTTTTAATGTTTGTTTAGTATTAGGTCATTATCAGTATCTTCGGATTCACTTTCCTAGAGTCTACTAGATATTCCATCGCCTTAATAAGAAGACCAATGAGAGAAATCGACATAATAACTTCAGTACGCCACGTAGGGCACCGGTGTCCTACACGGCAGTCCACGTGTTAAGTACTGTCGTACATGGATATCCGTAATAGTAGTCAAA